GCCATCGGTCGGCCGTCTGTCGGCTGACCCGGCCGACACAGCCGCGGGATCCATCGCGTCTGACACGACACTGACACCGCGCGCCGACGCGTCGGCCCCTGCCGCCGGCTCCTCTGGAATCTGTCGGCCGTGGGTGCACCACCTGCACTGCCACGGTAGGTGATCTGGTGGAAAGGCTTGGAGACCACCCGCTATCGCCTGATTTCCCTGGTGCGTGTCTAAGGCTGGGAAACGTGCGGGGAATGGATGGCGTCAGAGTTCGTGACACTTTGAAGCAGAGGTTCTCCACCATGTACAGGTGCTGCTTAAATGCTTCCATATGATGTCATGGAATGCATGAATGTAAGTGACTGCATGCGTAGATGTGAGCGAGTGACTGCAAAACGATAACAAAATGTAGCTGGATGGCGGTAGACCTGGCTGCAAGGCTATGCTACCTGTCAACATCGGCGATTGATGATTGGAGTAAGAAAACCTTTCTGCACAGCAAAACGCCGGAGTACTAAAACGACCAGTGCTACTCGATGTGTCCAGCATGTTCAGACCGAACGCAAGGTACCGTCACAGAACCAATTACTTTGGGTGGAACATATGCATGTGTTTTCAGTTAAGTAACAGTCTCTACAACGATGACAGATTGCTTCCATTTTCAAGATCGTAATATTAGCCTATCGGCGCAACCGGCGTAATTAAAGTGAGTTATGGGGGGCCTGTAAGGACGATGGTACTTCACTTTGCTTGTTGACGTCGCTCGTGTTTTTTTAATGCAGGCGGCATGCAAACTTTTAGAGTCGCCACAAACATGCACAAAAAGCCTGCTAATTGGATATCAAAAACCTTTACAGACGTGGTAGTTATTTTGCGAGATCGTCGCACGCCGTTCTGATGAGCCTACAGCAGACGTAGCCATAGATTTGCAAAACATTGCTGGCATTTGCAGCGCTTAGGAGTACATTCCTTGGCCTTGACTGAAACAATGCTCAACATGTATGCCATCTGGCGGTACAGATAGAGCATCAAACAACATGGTTAAGGCGAAATGTTTGGGTTCGGCCTTCAGAGGCAGAAGCTGCAAGGGCTAGAACGTACGGGTTGTTCGGTCTGCAGCCTACGTGAGAGACTGCCCGTGATTGTGTTTGGGTTGGAGTAAGCAACCTTTCTGCGCAGCAAGACACCTGAGTACTAAAATGACCAGTGCTACTCGATATGTTTCAGCATGTCCAGGCCGTACGCGAGGCATTTTCATAGAACTCATTACTTTAAGTGAGCATGTGCATGTGTTTCCGATTAGATAACAGTGAGCTCGAAGCCACCCATCCCGTCAAATCGGCTTAATGTGGAAAATTAAAACTTATCTGATCATTTCATTGCCACAGCCGCACACATTCCAGTTTTTTCACCGCACTTGAAACACAGGTTGATGAATGAAATGCCCTCCGGAATCTCTCTCTCTCTCTCTCTCTCTCTTCTCTCTCTCTCTCTCTCTCTCCTCTCTCTCTCTCTCTCTCTCTCTCTCTCTCTCTCTCTCTCTCCTCTCTCTCTCTCTCTCTCTCTCTCTCTCTCTCCTCTCTCTCTCTCTCTCTCTCTCTCTCTCTCTCTCTCTCTCTCTCTCTTCTCTCTCTCTCTCTCTCTCTCTCTCTCTCTCTCTCTCTTCTCTCTCTCTCTCTCTTCTATCCTCTCTCTCTCTCTCTCTCTCTCTCTCTCTCTCTCTCTCTCTCTATCTCTCTCTTCTCTCTCCCTCTCTCTCTCTCTCTCTCTCTCTCTCTCTCTCTCTCTCTCTCTCTCTCTCTCCTCTCTCTCTCTCTCTCTCTCTCTCTCTCTCTCTCTCTCTCTCTCTCTCTCTCTCTCTCTCTCTCTCTCTCTCTCCTCTCTCTCTTCTCTCTCTCTCTCTCTCTCTCTTCTCTCTCTCTCTCTTCTCTCTCTCTCTCTCTTACCCGTTTCCGTTCCCGAAGACCGTTCCTTCGGGTTCTCCATTTATTTCCATTGCTGCGAAGCTGCCACTTTGGCTTACGAAAAACGGCGAGAAAAGTCACTTTGAAAGTCATAGGCAACGCTGTGAGACTTCTTAGGCTGCGAGACCCTTTAGACAGATTGCTCTCTTGGATAAATCCGGCCACATGCCTCCGCCCATGCCGAAACCGCCATATCTCCCGTCAAGCCGGGATGTTGTAGCTGGGGGTGCTCCTGCCATCTACTGAGAGACACGCAAACTACCTATTGGACTAGATGTAGGTATTCATGATCCGCGTCCCACGCGTTGGCTCATCAGTATAGCTAAACGCCTTAAATGAAGCAAATTATTCTCCATTCCTGGGAAGCTGCCACTTTGGCTTTCGAAACAGGGCTTAAGGTTATTCCGGAGCGGCATTCCATCCATCAAGCCGTATTTCAGGTGCGATGAAAAATTGGAATGTGTGCGACCGTGGCAATGGAATGATAACAAGATAAGTTTTAAGTTTCCACATTAGGCCGATTTGACGGGATGTAGTGGCTTGGGTTCCAAAAATGGGTAAACGATGTTCAAAAAATGTACGACCATGGGTGGCTTCGGGTTCCAAACATCCACTTGCTACGCTGAGATTGTTGTATGTGCCTCGAACTTTAGACCTTCCTTTTTAGTCCCCACTGTGGAGCGGTTTTTCATGTCGAACATGTCATGCGACATGGCCATCAAGCCATCAGGCCATGACCATCATGGGTCATGGCCCATTTCGATGATAAACGGTTTTGAATACGACCAAATTGACCTCAATCCATTAGAATGGCAAGAGTCGTTGTCATGGAGCCACGCACAATGCGTGAACGTAGCCAGCCGAGTGCGGAAAATACCAGCCATGTAGCCACCATGCTCATGAACGGACATTGTAGCTGCAGCGGCCTTCTAACCCGGCACGGTCTCCGTTAGGTGTTTCGCTAATTGTGGCCGTCGCAGGGCTAGTTCTACTCCCTGCCCTTTACCTCAGCAGGCAACTATCGGGTGGCAGAAATTCGAAAGGCAGCCGATTGTCCCGGCCTTTCTCCTCGGAAAAGCAGCACGCTAAAAGCTATCACGTCGCAATGACATCGAATATCGTGTGAGCCAGAGCCAAACCAGTGCTCCAGCACTGGCTCCAAGTCGAAACTGAAGACCATCATCATGCAATCATAATCCATTTGGGTAGCGGCAATGTAGCTTGGTATTAGTATCTCAGGCAACTTCAACCTGGGGGGGGGGGGGGGGGGCAAGCCAGAGGATCCAAAGCAACTGGGTCATCCGCCGGTGGTGCTGATGTATTGCAAAGGGGTGCCGTACGCACAGGCTCCCTCCCCACAACATATTTTTACATGCATTGATACATTAGTAACCAAATGTCAGCTACTGGAAAATCGGGATGCACGTGGACATTAGTGCAATGAGAACATGCAACGCCGCTATCAGCTACGCAAAACATCAGGGCGACGCTGGCGCGCTAAAGGTAGATTTGCCATGACAATTTTGAGTTGCATCTCTCAGCCATCGCGATGTCCTGCTAACGAACCTAGCATTCAGTTGTCAACTGACTTCAAAGGCTTGCAGCCTTTGAACTTTAACTCCAGCTGACTAGTCCTTCTCCGTTTTCTAGTTATGGCACAGGGATACGCATCACTAGCACTTCATGCGTGACGTTCATCGCACCGTAGCCCAAGAACATCCACCCTTCGTTGACGCTGCTGTGCTTAGCTGGTCATTTCGTCGCTTGCATCACTGAAAAGATGAAATAATTTTGTCTAAGTGTCAGGCAGTAGTGTTTGAAAACGGATGGGTAACATATACAAACCTTCACAAGCGAGATCTCCATTACCTGATCCACCTGCTGTTGATGGAGCTGTTTCCATACCTACGCGCTACCCACACCTAATCAGTTGTGCCCACCCGTCTGATTTTTAGCACTTACGTTATAAACATCAGGGTCAATGTTTTAGAAGAGTTTACGCCCAAACTTATTTTTTGTGTTGATAATTAGAAAGATGTTGTAAGTGAAGGCAGTAACTGCGTATAAATTATCAAGTCATCTAGCCAACACTTTTTAAGCGCCTGACCTGTATCCGTGCCCATACCCGTATATGCCCATACCCATACCCATGCCCATATCCATACCCGCAACTTTGCCAAAATATATGCCGAACCCAACTCGTTGGCCGTTGCCCACGCCATATGGATCCCCACACATTTATTCAGCTCGTGAAGTCCTCCAGTGACAAGCGCGGGCTTATGCTTTACAAGCGACTCGATGCACTATTCTCGCGATTGGATATTTCGGATAGCAATAACGTGCATCAGTGTAAGTAATTTGACGCGCCTACCTCATCCCTTTTTTACACAGCTCGTTCAATGCACAACGAGGGATGAAAGCAAGCGCATATTTTCCCAACATGGGTTTGGAGGCCGAGGATTGAGATATGACGAAACAAAACCCCAAATGGTCAACAAACGGGTTTGAAATTTGGAGGAATTGAGTCCAAAATGAGTGGGGAGAAAGAGGGGTGGAGCCTCCTAAATTGAATTGGAAACTATACTCTTGGGTGGGTTGCGGTAGGGGCGGGGATGGAGTGGGGTGGGGTAGAGGGGAGGCGGGGAGGTCTGTGCGTGCGACCGCTTATTTTGATACTGCCCACACACAAAGCATACGCACATATCAGATCAGATTCCAACGCTCCGACCAGCATCCTCGTTGTCCTCTGACCCAGCCGGATCCAGCCGGTATCCTCGCGGCGTCTCGGGCCCACCCGGATCCAGCCGGTATCCTCTCTATGTTTCGGGCCTACCCGGATCCAGCCGGTATCCTCTCTATGTTTCGAGCCTACCCGGATCCAGCCGGCATCCTCTCCATGTTTCGGGCCCACCCGGATGGCCGACCTGTCCGGCAGCGAGCGGCGACGTAGTTGGTCTGTGTATCGCTCTGCATAGATGTGTTGATCGGAACGGACCGCGGAGGCCCTCTCCCCCTTCCTGGGGGTGGGATGGAAGCTGTCCGTTACGGCTAACGGTCCGGCGACAGCTCGGCCTCAGTCCGGGAGCGGACGCGTCGAGACGGAGCTGAGCTGTACTCACTGGTGATCCCCCGATAGGCGCCTGCGATGTCTCTCCGAGAGGAGACATCTGGAGGGGCCTGCTCCCGATTTACAGACATTCTGTACTTATCGCATTTAACCTCAACGAAATCGGTAAATGTGGTGGATATCGAGGCATGCGCAAATGTCTTTCCCTTTTTGTCGTCATGGGAAAGGGCATGTGACCTTCTAATCTCGCTCTTGGACGCCATACCCTCATATTACTCGGAAACTAACTCCGGAGATAGTATCAAGACATATGTACCAGGGTCTTTCACGAACAGATCGGACCATCACCAGGCGCAGCTTTTGGTCATGTGCAGTGCCTAGGTGGCATGGACTCCACGACAAGGGGAGAGGGGTAGGCACGCGTCTACTTTTGTCCACAATTTAGGATTACGCCGATTGTGGTGTGGCATGGAGGGAGACTGCATACAAATCCCGATCTTCTCACGTCCATGAAGTCAGACATTTACTGGTAGTGATTTATTAAGTGACGAGTTTCGAGTTCCGATTTCGATGGAATCGCATTCGCTTCCAACTATGGCTTGAGAACAGCACGTCTGACTTTTTCATTAGCACGTGACCCTGGAGGACAAATTCAAAGTCACATCGGGAAAAATGACGAGAAAGTGGCGAGAAACTTCAGATCATCCAGAAGTTGCCGGCAAGTTTCGGATATCTAAACATCATGATGCTCACCAGCGCCTGGACCGGCGTCTGTCAATAAGTCCCGACGTCTCAATGTCGCCCGTCAAGATCAAACTCGGCTAAATGACAAAGAGCTTCGTATCACCCTAAACTTACCTCCGTTATCAATTTTCCAGCACGGAGAATGATCGCCAGCGCATAAACAGACATCCATCAAAACGTTTTGACCTCACAAGACAACCTATCGAGGTCAGATGATGGGGCACTCAATATCACCCATAACTTTCCGACCGCTTTAGGATTCTTAAGCATCCAAATTATCCTCAGCACGTAAACTACTGTCTGTCAAGAAGTTTTGACCTCCCTAGGTCACCCTTTACGGTCAAATTCCAGATCAAATGACAGGGAACTCTATATTACCGAAAACGTACCAGACGATTCCGGAGTTTAACGTCCAGAATATTCACCGAGGCATAAACTTCCCATCGTCAGAAATTCCTAACACCTTTCGAGGTCATCTCAAGGTGAATGCAGGCTGAAATGAAGGGAGGTTTTCAAGGATCAGAATATTCTCCAGGGCATAACCTAGCGCCCGTCAAAGCGTCATGACCGCACAAAGTCACCCTTCAAGGTCAAAGTCAGGCGCAAATAACGAGGAACTATATTTCAACCGAAAGCTCCCGGCCGATTTCAATGGAGGTATTTCCTGTCTGCATGCAGAGTTGTGGCTATAATACGGCAGCCCGGGAAGGTAGAATTATAATGAAATCCAGAAATTGCATCGTTGTGCATTCGATTGACCTGGTACCGGGCTATCAGCTGCCAGCAGACCAGAGCTTTCGGATTTTGATTTTGATTTTATTCGGTTGACCCTCGACAACGTTATCACTCAATGGTTTCTTGGTGGCGGCGAGGCTATTTGCCCAGGTACGAGGCACAATTTGATATATGTTTGTTTGTGCGCGAAAGCTGCAACCATGCACTTGCGATGATGTGGGATCACTATGGGTCTGCAACGTAAATATCGCACCAGCAGATAGGACCTTTTTTGAATCTACCCTTCAACCACACACAAGTTTCGGCCACCGAGGAGCACGTAAAGCGATGTCAATGACACGGTGCCAGTGGAAAAATACTTTTTACCAAGCTAAAAAATTGCAAAGTTGTGCATTCGATGTCACCAGCATTGGGCTATCAGCTGTCAGCACACCCGAGTCTCCCGACTTTGATGTCATTTTGTTCGGTTGACCACCAGACAGCACATCACTCAACGCTGGCAGCTCAAATCCGCCTTGACAGCGCAGAGCTAACGATGCCCGACCTACACGGAAGTCATGGCCGTACTATCGCGGCCCGGTAAAATACTGGCAATCCAATGGGAAGATTGGGACTCTGCATTGGATCGCATTGGCCTGGAACTACCAGCTGCAGCACAGCGCACGCGTCAGATTTCGTTTTCGATTTTATTCGATCGACCATCCTACAGCGTGTCACTCAATGGTGGCAGGCGGGCTAGAATGGTAATTTGCACAGATATGGCGTGCAATTTAAATCCTTTTACTTGTACGCGGAAGATGAAATACTGCGGTCACGATCATATCGTTTGAACAGTATCGGACTGTCATGTGTATGCATTATGGGCAGACGTGAACTTTTCGCAGATCACCCCTGACAGTGCAAAGGTAATGGTGGATGGCCTGCACGTGGATCGATGGCCATAATACGACGGCCCCGGAAAATGCTTATGATTAAACCTTAAGACTGCGACTGCGTACATTCGGTGGCACTGGTATAGAGCTATCAGCTGCCGACACAACACGCTCGCCAAATTTTGGCTGGGGTTTAATTTGGTCCACCCCACGACAGCGTATCACTCAACGCTGGCACGTGGCAGGGCCCCAGCGTTGATCTCCACAGATGTGACGTCGAATTTGAAATATTCTTACGTGCATGCGGAAGGTGCAGCCTTGCGCACACGATATCATAGTTGAGGAACATCGGCAGGGAATGTAAATTTCTCACCAGCCGACCCGACCCTTTTTGTTCAAATCACCCACTGACAGCCACAGCTCACGGTCAGTCGCCCCCACATCCGTGGAGGCTGGTGATTCTCGGTGTTGTTGAGCTGTTCACTGCTGCAAATCGGCACCAGCAGGCAGCGGCGTAATCAACTGCTACGATTCGGCACCAGCAGGCAGTGGCGTAACCAATTGCTACGAATCAGCACCAGCAGGCAGTAGCGTAACCAATTGCTACGAATCAGCACCAACAGGCAGTGCCATAACAAACTGCTCCGAATCGACACCAACAAGCAGTAGTGTAACCAATTGCTACGAATCGGCACCAGCAGGCAGTGGCGTAACCAGCTGCTACGAATCGGCACCAGCAGGCAGTATCGTAACCAGTTGCTACGAATCGGCACCAGCAGACAGTGGCGTAACCAATTGCTACGAATCGGCACCAGCAGGCAGCGGCGTAATCAATTGCTACGAATCGGCACCAACAGGCAGTGGCGTAACCAGTTGCTACAAATCGGCACCAGCGGGCAGCGGCGTAACCAATCGCTACGAATCGGCACCAGCAGGCAATGGCGTAACCAATTGCTACGAATCGGCACCAGCAGGCAGTAGCGTAACCAACTGTTACGAATCGGCACCAGCAGGCAGTGGCGTAACCAGTTGCTACGAATCGGCACCAGCAGGCAGCGGCGTAATCAATTGCTACGAATCAGCACCAGCAGGTAGTGGCGTAGCCAACTGGAGGGGCTTTGGGGGCAATGCCTCTACTCTTGGAGAACGTGGAATTCTTTGGAACAGAAGGCCCTGGCGCTTTTTGAGACTTGAAGACACTCGTAAGACTTCTGAAAAAACTGCCCTGAGGCATCAAGAGTTATTATGCCCTGGGCCTAAGACCATCCACGATTTCAAAGACCCCTATGGCGGCGAGGAGTCCCCATAAAAGGCTCTTTTTAAATCGTCTCTAGGGCTCGATTTGGCCCCTCTTGCAAAAAAAACCCTGGCTACGCCACTGCCAGCAGGCGACGATCAGCCACCAGTTCGAAGTGTGACAAGCCGGCCAGATACGTGCGGTATTTCGGGGATGGCGACAGGCAGGCGGCGAACTCCAGGTCCACCACCGCGAACCGTCACCTGGTGATCGCGAGGAGCGTTCAGCCGCATTGGGCCAGCCCTCCAGATGAAGCTTAGACGCTGGAGATACGCGATTCTCGGGCACGCGCCACGCGGCGTCCGTCCGCAGCATGGGGTGGGAAGGTTCGGGTCAAAGAAACCATGGCAGGCCGCGCAGTCAGGGCGCTTTTCAGCTCCAGGAAGGTCACCTCGTGCTGAGCCATTTGTCCCTTGCTGGGATGGCCTGCAGCTGATGGCAGTGGCCGCTCAAGGTCAGATGAGGGCAGGGGTGGGACGAGCCATGCCGAACATTGCGACACGCTAACTTACGCCATCAAAGTCTGCCGTTGGACTAGAATCTTAAGATCTGATGGTATTGTCAGGGCTCCCGCAGCCAGCCCTGCTTAGCACGGACTCGGATACCAGAAATCAATCCAATCAATGTGTTGGCACTATATTCATAAAACTGTTGTCCAGCTCCATGGGCGGTGCACCTTCAAGAGGTGTAAGAGTTGCCAGCGCCATCTGAGAGGTGGCGCTGGCGATTCTAACGAAAGACCACCGAACTGATTGGCGAGCCCCGCGAAATACGACAGGTCGCTGATGTTCTCAGGTGGCGGGAAGCTGACGATGGTCTGATGGATTTTGTCGCCATTCGATGTCTAGGTGTCGGTTCTGATGCGGAAGCCGCAGCAGTCCGACCTCTGCTCATGAACTGGACCTCGTGCGGGCTCCAGGCGATGCCACGCCCGTCATAGCGTCGCATGATAGCGGCGACACGCAGCCACGTGCTCCTGGTGGGTACGTGTTGGACCAACAGGTCGTCTACAAGCTTGACTGTGCGCGATATGTTGCCGAGGGCCGCTCGTGGCCATGGCCATTGGCGTCGCAATGTTTCTGTACGGTCGCAGTGAGGGTGGTTTGCGTGGGGTGGGCCCGTGTGTTTTATATTATGCCGCGCATAAAACACATTGCACTGAAACGCTTTGGCATGATCACTACATCGTAGTACTGATGCCTCTGTTTCGTACTGGCCACCTGCAAGGCTTATGTTAAAGTCAAAATATTGCAGAAATTTTAGATCGTGAGACAGAACGACTGCCCACACCCACAACACTATAAATAAATCAGAAACCTCACCACAAGTTTCTATTAAAGATTACGAGCATCACATGCGTTTTGGTGTTTCAAGATCAGTAGCAGAATATCCAGGCAGGTCTCACGAAAAAAGGCAGCTGCGACGGTTATCGGAGTGGCGTTTCGACCATGTCCAGCCGCTAGCGTTATCAAAAGCACTACGGGCAGTCAAGGTGCGCTGCCACCATGGCAATTTGTCCACCGTTGCTTCCTGCTTGTCCGCGGGCACCCCGTCCGCCGTCTCTCGCTGCTGGTCCCCGGTGTCCTCAGTTCCGTACGGCCCCTGTCTGCTGGTCCCCGGTGCCTCAGTCCCGTACGGTCCCTGTCTGCTGGTCCCCAGTGCCCTCAGTCCCGTACAGTCCCCGTCTGCTGGTCCCCGGTGCCCTCAGTTCCGTCCGTCGTTGCTCCCTGCTTGTCTGCGGGCACCCCGTCCGCCGTCCCTTTCTACTTGTGTCCAGTGCCCCCAGTCCCGTACGGTCCCTGTCTGCTGGTCCCCGGTGTCACCAGCCCCGTCCGTCGTTGCTCCCTGCTTGTCTGCGGGCACCCCGTCCGCCGTCCCTTTCTACTTGTGTCCAGTGCCCCCAGTCCCGTACGGTCCCTGTCTGCTGGTCCCCGGTGTCACCAGCCCCGTCCGCCGTTGCTCCCTGCTTGTCCGCGGGCACCCTGTCCGCCGTCGCTCGCTGCTGGCCCATTCAGACAAAATGGCTGGCGAATTTCGTACCATGTCTCGTGCTTTTAATGTCACGTGATGCCAAGTCTTTCCCGTATTTATCGAATATTGGCAAAACACAGCTGGAAATGAATCAACTAATGTATCATAACAGTGGGATCAGAAAAAGAAGGATGCGTCCCATATATGTGCAGATAAGATGCTGTCACTCACCATATCGCATTTTAGATAGCATTGGGCTGTACTTCAATAAAGCCCAACACCAATGTAGTCACAACGACGAAAGTGAATGTGGTCTTCGGGCTAGTAAATTATCCTGGAACCCCATTGCATGGAACGTAAAAACTGTTTTTTTTTAATGCAGTTGTGCTTTCGCCTGGTGTCTTACAGCAACGATAATGCTGGCAGGTGATTAGATCGATGGGGATGAGCTAGAGTGATGGAGGGAGGAGCATGGCTGTACGACCATTGTTCATCCCTTGAACAAACTCTACAGTCGTAATTCTCTACCCCTAGGACACCTAGGGGTCCACCGTGGTGCCTAACTTTCGGCCCGGCATACGGCGGACCGTTGTATATGTAACATGCTGACATCCAAGGTTTCCAGAAATCCTCAACTTAAACATTTGAAATAGCCCAGCAGCACCAGACACTGAGCATGCAAAATATCACGAGTGAAAATGTACAGGCATAAACACTGAGCCGTCGCAAAATCTGCTTGTCAGAAAAGGACAAAGGCTGCCGAGGTAGCGGATCCCACTGGATCTGCTCCAGGTACATCTTTGTGCAGTAAAGCCAGCTCCCTCCGTGCCACGCACCAAACGCAACGACTCTTTTGTCTTAGCTCATTTTGCTACATGCTTTTTCACATACATGCTGAACCCCTTTTAGTCCTGCAGATTTTTTGTCCTTCGAGTTGTTTCTCAAGTTGACTTTTCATCTCGTCCCTTCGACATTTCACGTTTTGACTGTTTATGATTCGACTTTTATCCCTGTCGGATCCGATTCCCTTTCGATTTTTTTCCTTCGGCTTTTAACCAGTTCTTCTTTTGGCCCTATCGACTCGTATCTCTTCCGACATTTTGAGCTTAGACTATTTCCTTTGACCTTTTCCAATCGGTTTATTTCGATATTCAGTCCTTCAACTTTTGTCTGATTTGGCTCTTGCCCCGTTGCCTTCTATCCCATTCGACTATTTTCAGTCGACTTTTTCCGTTAGACTGTTCCCACTTTTTTTTGCTCGGCAATCATACGGGTGTGTACTCGGCGCTCGTACAAAGCCCCACCAGGTGAGCGCTTAAGTTCAGTCATGGCTGGTGCATGTAACCTCTGATAGATGAGGCGTCGCGAGTATGCGAGATGTAGCGAGAGTGGGGAAGCCTGGGCGGTGTCAGTAACATCAGGATGAATGCGCAGTCACCGACGCGCTCTCGCAGCGAGTAGAATTCTTGGTCAAGAGGCGTGTAAAAATCATAGCAAAGCACGCCGAGCACCCACAAATATGTGCCACAGTCATTCCAGATCTGACTATCAGCACGCGTCCAGAATGGTGGAACGTTCAAGTGGCTGGACGCCTTACGTGTAACATGAGCCAAGTAAATTTCATAAAATCCATGACTCTCCATATTCGAATGTCGAACCAGTGAGTGCAACGGGGTTACAGCCACGTTGGCCACATCATTATTCTGTACTCTAAACATCCAAACAGGTCACATCAGGCAACTTCTGAATTTGAATTTCAAGCACTCACTGATATATAAGCACCCCTCCGTACACCACTAAGGATTATGTTCTACATGAAGCTCTGCAGTGCAAACTACGTTCACATGTAAGTGCAAGAAGATCTAAGAGGGCATGCAAGAATCATCAGCAGCTTGGGCATAATTCCGGACAGCGCCCGAGAGAATGGCTCACAGTTCTGTTCAGTGCCCGAGAGAATGGCTCACAGTTCTGTTCAGTGCCCGAGAGAATGGCTCACAGTTCTGTGCAGTGCCCGAGAGAATGGCTCACAGTTCTGTTCAGTGCCCGAGAGAATGGCTCACAGTTCTGTTCAGTGCCCGAGAGAATGGCTCACAGTTCTGTTCAGTGCCCGAGAGAATGGCTCACAGTTCTGTTCAGTGCCCGAGAGAATGGCTCACAGTTCCGTGCAGCGCCCGAGAGCACGGCTCACAGTTCTGTGCAGCGCCAAAGAGCACGGCTTACAGTTTTGTGCAGCCCCGAGAGCAAGGCTCACAGTTCTGTGCAGCCCCCGAGAGCACGGCTCACAGGTCTGTGCAGAACACGGCTCACCTCCCGTCGCGGACCTGATACGTCACAAAGAACTCCACCGGCTGCCGGACGACACTCTCCCTGCCGTCCAGCGAGAGCTCTTGGCCCGGGGCCGCGATGAAGCTGAAGCGCTGCAACAGGCAGGTGAACAGCACGAACATCTCCATGCGGGCCAGCGTCTCACCCAGACAGATCCTCCTGCCAACGCCGAACGGGATGAGCCGCTCGTCGCGTCGCAAGCTGCCGTCCGACTGCAGGAAACGCTCCGGCCGGAAGGCGTGCGGGTCGCCCCAGTACGCCGCGTCCATGTGCACGGCGTCCAGGTGCATCACCAGCACCGTGCCCTTGGGGATCGCGTAGCCGGCGAGGTCGGCGTCGCGGACAGCGCGGTGGCTCACCGACCGCGGCAGCACGGTGGCCCGCCGCGCCACCTCCATCAGCGTGGCCGCCGTGTACGGCATGTCGTGACGATCGGCGTAAGCGGGGTGACGGCCGCCCAGGACGGCGTCAATCTCACGCTGCACGCGGCTCTGCACCTCCGGGTGAAGCACCATGAAGAGCAGCGCCCAGCTCAGCGAGGTGGAGGTCGTCTCCATGCCGGCGACGAAGAGATCCATGCCGATGATGGTCAGGTTCTGCTCCGTGAACTGGCGACCCTCGGCGCCCGGCGCCTCCATCTCGAGCAGGAAGAGGTCGATGAAGTCGCGCGGGCTGGAGCGGTCCAGCGTCTGCTGGTGCTCGCGGATCAGCTCCTTGAACATGCCAGTGGTCACGCTGCGGTGGCGAACCACAGCGTTGTAGCCACTCCACTCCGGAGCTATGTGTCGCAGCCACGGTGCCAACTGCAGCGGGTTGTGCGGATTGAGCACCGCGAAGAACTCGTTGACGGTGTTTATGTAAGTCTGGGCATCCGGGTCGCGGCTGTCGAATCTGTTGTCTGCTACCAGACGCCAGAGGACGTTCAGCACCGTCAGGTGGAAGCGGCAGTTGACCTTCATCGGCGAACCAATGTCGCGAATCATGTCTTTGGCGAGCTCTTCGAACTCATCAATAACTATCGACTCCGTGGAGACTTTTCCAAAGCCGAGATCCTTCAGATGATGCAGGGCGAAGCGTCTGTGTTCAACCCACGCGGCACCTTGGCTGAAAATTATGCCGAGCTGTTGATGATAGCTGCGCAAGAGCAATAGAAAGTTGTCTAGTCTCCCAGTAAATTCTTGCTTCGCACATGCGTCCTTTATGTGGTCGAAATGAAACAGATGAACCCCGTTCTCGCCCGCCGGCGGGATGAAGCCCACTATGTCGCCGAACTGCTTCCGACTTGCTTCCATTAAAGAAGCAAAGTTGCCCCTCAGTGTTTCCACGGAAGCGGACAAATTGCCAAAAACCAGGAACATCGGTGGGCCTGAAACAAACAACGTTTAGCCAGCCTGCCCCTCGTATACATTTATTGCGAACACTGCTGGACAGCCGAATCCCTTGTTTGTAAGCCGTCCTCCACAAGCAGCGTGCACGAATCATCTGAAGGGACAGTGGGTCAAACGCAGTAGTAAGTAGGCGATTAACTGTAACTTGCGATTGTTATTGTCTTATGGTGCTGTGAAGAGATGAAATCAAAAATCATTTCATGGTAAGGAAGACTTCAATGGCCGGTTAGAGCTCAAGAATCCGGTGACGGATCCCGTCCGCTTTTGTCAACCCTGATTCTGACCAGACGATGCAGAAATTTACGCAGCAATAAACACATGGGCACACTGCTCCAATGAAAACTGCACGCACCTGGTGGAAACCGCACCGGTCGTTTTGGTCTTCTCACCCACACATACGCCAACACCAGAATCGCCAAGGCGATGAAGACCAGCATATCTCCTCACGCCCGAGCAGCAGTTCAACCTCTTCCACAGCGGCGCTCGTCATGCACCATGTTTCTCTCACTCCGCGTGCCTTGCTCGTCCGCGAGCGCCACCGAAACTGTTTACGCAAGCCATCATGCATTACATGCCACGTCCGCCGGCTCAGAGGCGTTCGTAGGGTGTTCTTCTGCGAAGACCACGGTCTGAGAGACTTGTCATAGTGACAAATTGCTTCAGAACAGGCGCACAGCTAGAGCGTTGGCAAGGGGGGGGGGCACAGAGTTGACAAAAGGATCTCTGGTAGCAAAAGGGCATTCCAAAATTCGCCGGATGTGACCCACTTGTTAATGACGGCATGTTTTTCTTTGATATCATATCTATCTATCTATCTATCTATCTATCTATCTATATATATATATATATATATATATATATATATGCATATTTATAATTGTTACGTTCTATAACTGGACTAGAAGTAAGACACTGCGGCGAGATAAAGTCTGCGCTACGTGTAGAGTCAGTAAACTCAAAAAATCATTCATCGAACGACTGCGTGAAATAAATCGCTGGACCGCTTCATTTAACAATGGTCCAGTGACCTCTTTTCAAGTCCATTGAACAATTGAACATGGAATGTTTAATTTCAAGTTAGAATCTATCAGTGATACCATAGGTGTAAGAACGTAAGAGATGGAGGTTATCGCTCTTTATTCAAATGCAATGACTGCTATTCTAGATATGCATCTAGAGCCGATTTTCACTGGCACACACTCCTGCCTATCTGACTCATCTATGTCATTCGGGAAATAAGGCTATCCAGCTTCCCAATATTATTCATCCACTTCAACGTTGTCTTTCCTGGGGAGCCGAAATTCCACGAGCAGGTAGGCATTTTTGGTTATTGAGGAGGCATCTATCTCCACAGGAAAGATGCCAAAATATGGCCTAAGCATAGGCTGGTGAGAAATTTGGAAGTGAATCGATGGCTCCCAGCACAGCAGATTTTACATGCGCCTTCATTTCGCGGGTTGCTTTTCAAGAGATAAGCCTTGTCGCGGCATTTTAGGCGAAAACAAATTCGGAAGCTTCAGACTACAAAAACCATGTGACAAAAGCCATAGAATTGAAGATTCTTCTCTGAAAACCAAGCCACAGAATGAAGGTCCTTCTGTCATATATTCCTCGTCTGAGCTCCGCTCCCGCCCACCGTCGGTGGTCACTGTCCTGGCCCAGCTGTCTCCGAATGACTGACCGCGAACTGATGGTATGGCCGCTTCATTTCTGGCGCATTTCTGGATCAGCATTCCACACACATTCACATCCCGCTGGCACATTTCTGGATCAGCATTGGTGCTGATTGTGATGTAAAACATGTGTTGGGATACCTGCAACAGTGCTTTTTTCCGAATTATCTTCCCTTACACCACACCACCCCAGAAAATGCCGCCGGGAAGCTGTCTACTTTAGGTTTGAGTGCGCCCAACGGACATTTAATCGTCCGTAATTCAACGTAAATGCTTGATCTGCTCTTGTGTGGAGGCAGGGGGTAGCCAGAGCCTTGCTAAGAGAAACACGGGGTTGACCCTTCATGGTGATCCCCCCAACAAAAATATCCCCGGATTTGGATTAGTTGTTAACAAGATACACGGTTGTCTTCGTTTCATTGTTATTTTACGTTGTAACTAGAACAAAAACCAGAAGCTACTGTGAAATCAAGTAAAAAAAAATTGAAAAATTCTGTTTACATTTTTAACACGTGCCCGGGTGGGAGGCTAGATACCCTTCGCTCGGGTGAGGGGTCAATTTGACGCCGCCCCTGAGATCTCGGGAACTAAGGGAGCTAGAGACACCAAATCCACAGGGTGTGTTGACCTGTACGCTAACTCACTTAGGTCATAGTTTAAGGTTCCTAGGTCATGACTTTTGGGTCAAATAAGGTCACACAGGATCAAATTCCAGGCTGGTCTCTAGGGGCCCGCGGAACCTAGATAGCTGTTTTCAGGCAAAAGGTCACATGTTTGGTTAAAGTCAGTTACCTTATTTGACCTTTTGGAGGTCATGGTGGCCAAAATCATACAAGACTGCTCTGAGTTAGGCATTTTAATAAGCGAGAAAGATTACGCTAGGCAGTATGTTTTTTTTTAAAAACAGAATGTTGACTTCGGTCATTTTAGGCCAATGACCTATTATGACCTCTAAGAAGTGCATGACAGATTATAATGCGGTTCCTGCCATCAGTGAATTCGAAATGAGCGCCAAAAACTATTCCATAAGGCAAGCCCTAGAGTAAGAACACAGTTTGGTTTCGGCCTTGGTCTGACCTTTATACCTGACCTTAGGTCAATGTGATTAGCTGATTCATTATTTGTGTTGCCTAAGAAAGCATCTCAGAGATGTATGGCTTCGTCTAACACTCCATTGTTGCATCAGACTGGACGATTCCCTAGAAGTTGACTTCGCTGAAACCATGGCCCGACTCTGGCTCAGTGACCTTACAAAGTACATCTAAATTTTTGATGCCAAACGATCCGCTATTCAATTGTCTACGGCCATGCAAACCATGGGGCGACTGCGCCGCGCCGTTCGGAAATCCATTCTGGAAAACCCGTCTGGAGGCGAGTAAATTTGACCACCCACCCGAGTGCTTGTTAAGGTCAATAAACTGCAGAAACCAGAGGTTATCAACTGCATGAAATAAATCATCGATGTTCTTAATTTGCAATGGCTTAATGGGCTCTTTCTAAACCGATAGAATTAAGAAGCTTTTTCATAATGTTTTATCTGCGTTCTAGACACATTGAGGACATTGCGAAGGCAGGTTGTAGATCGATATGATTTATCGAAATTTTAGGGTGAAAATTTTGATTTTAGATCGAGTCGTCAGCAATATGTATCAACATCACCAAACCATATTTGTCTGGATATTTTAGACATTCAGTCAGAATCGATTAGTGATGCAATTTATATAATGTGGATTTTGACATGCACGCTCGCAAATCTTAACAAAAACCTCGACACCATGCGTTGCAGTCTCCATAGTCCATGGAGTGCCAGCTCGGTGGTTAACTTTTCGTCATGGTCCACCGGTGGACGAAAATGATAACGGTTCTGAAATAATTGCTTTTAAACACCTGAATCGGTTAGCAATAAAAGTTACGTGACATAATTTTGAGCGTGCGTACTCGCAAACCTTAATTCTAAGAACCTCGACGCCAGGCGTTGCAGTCTCCGTAGGCCACCGGGTGGACGAAAATGATGACGCGTCTGAAAGAAGTACCTTTGAACGCTTCAGGACATCTAATTCCACATTTAAAAGGCAGTCTGGGCGCATATTCACGTGTGCGATTTTTAGACTGATGATAGGAACGGATTGGCCTTCAAAGCATCGCAAAATGGTGCTGGAATATGGTGGTGGAACTGGAAGAATGAAGGTAGATTCTCTATTTTTCGTATTTCTGTAACTATTTATCTGTCCAGAAGACAGATTAACATGGCGCCCGCCGTCTGGCGGCGCTAGCAGTGGCCGACGCCGTTCGGTTTTACGGAAGCTGTAACCCAGACCATCGCTGTCCTTGCTCTCGAGGTTGCGGGCGGGCATGTTGATGACATGTTGGAACCTTTTGATGAATTTTTTCACTAATCCATTCTGAAAAAATAAACGTTCTTGGGCAAACATGGGATGGCCTTGTCCGTTTTTTCTTTGATTCATTTCTGCCTACTCTGTTCAATAATAATGAGACATTCTCTCTACACAACAATAATGAGGCCCCTTACTTGCTTCCGGGCAAGGTGCCCCTTGAAGAGAACACCAAGGGCACATTATCGGTTCCGGTCAAGGGCTGAAGGGCCATGCCGTCCCATCGCGAAGAGTCTTCTGGCTGTCATTCTAGCGACACGGGGCGGGATCTCCTGGTCGATCCGGAGGCCATTGGATGGATATATCATATCACATTGTTCCCCTTCCTGACACGGGAGGCCTTCTGACCCGCGCAGTTGGCCCCGGATCAGCACAGGAACCCTCATTGACGCAACAGCATCTCTGATCGCCACAGGTGGTCCAATAATTGTCACACAGGCTCCAGTTCCGTCCGTGCTTTTCTACTTTCTTCAGAGATATTGAGAAATCCCTGAACGTCGATTGTAGATGAAATGGGGTCCAAAGCTTGTATTAAAATGGCTACTCCATGTTTGTCTTGAAATAATCAAGGTTCAGTCAGAATTGATTATTGATAAACAAATAAGGAATATGGTTTTGAACATACGCGCTCGCAAGTCCTAGCAACAACAGCCTGAACGCCTGGCGTTGCAGTTTCCATAGGCCGCGTGGCGTCGGCCTGCGGCTGTCAGACTGAGAAATGCCCAATAAGCAAACGAAAAAGATGACACATCTTGAGGAAGATGGCTGGTGAACTAGGTAAATAAGCACGTACATTTCAATGTGGTGCAAAAGTAAGCTAGACACAACCTTAATCTGAAAAGTGTGGGGGGGGGGGGCAGGTAACATTGCTGCCCCCACCTTGAAAAGTGTGTGGGGGGGGGGGGGCGTGGCTCCCCTGCCCCCCCCCCCCCCCCCCCCCCTGTTTCTACGCCCATGAGTGATACAAATTATGTGACGTAGTTCTGAGCATGCGGGCTCACATATCTTCGCGACAAAACCCTCCACTCCACGCGTTGCAGTCTCCCCAAGACGCGCAGCGTCGGTCCCGTGGCTAACACTAGGTCGTGGTCAACAGGTGGAAGAAAATGATGACGCATTTGAAAGAACAAGCTTTGAATGTTTTGGGACATAACATCGCACATTTGGAGATATTGCAGGCGCATATTTAAGCAGCACGATTTTTAGATTGATGATAATAACGGATTGGCCTTTACAGCAGAGCGAAGTAGCGCTGAAATGTTGTGGTGGAACTGAAACTGTTAAGTTAGAATCCTTATATTTATTGTTGCTGTAAATGTTCATCTGTCCGGAGAAAAACCCCAAATATGTAGTAAAGATTCGCCCAGTCTTATCATCGAACATTGCGAATTAATTTTGAAAAGCATTTAGAAGCATTATTTTAAGATGGCTGTTGTTACGCGCACGACACACGCCGCTTGGCGTTAATTGCAAGAGCCAACGTCGTTCGGTTTTACAAAAACTGCAGCCCGGGTCATCGCTGCCCTTGCTACCCGAGACTGCCCGCGTGTCATTTGGGCTTTACGACGCACTCAGCCGCTGACGCTATGTGGCGCCGCCTGCCTCTCACCCTGGTACCTTGGGGTATCGAACCCCGTATTTATGGTTTCCCAAGCGCGCGGTGGTTAAGAGGGCGCGTTCACCAATACACTATCGACATCCGGCGTGCAGACTCAAATCTTTTGATGCTATTTGTTTCTGTAGTCGATTCAGCAAAGGAATGAACGTTCTAAGACAAACATTGGGTGGTCCTGTGCGTTTTTTTAGCCATTTCGATCCACTCCATTCAACGCTAATGACACTTCTTCTTTTTTCTGCAAAAGGGGTCCCTTGAGCGGAACGACCAAGCGGAACACATTATTATTACAAGTCAAGGGCTGAAAGGTCACTCTCTCCCACCGCGGCGTGTCTTCCGGTCGTCATTCTGGCGACACGGGACGGGATCCCCTGGCCGATCCGGAGGCCCTTAGAGGAATACGTCACACCACATTGGTTAACGCCGTAACGCGGGAGACCTTTTGACCCGCGTAGTTGACCCCGGATCGACGCAGGAACCCTGACTGATGCAACAGCATCCCTGATCGCCGCAGGTGATCAAATAATTGGCACATGTACCCCAGTCCGGCTAGACGGGTCCATCCTGGAATTAGGTTGGAGGGCCCGCCAATCGGCACAGGGGCCTCGACTGGCACAGAACCCTTCCATTGCCTCAATGTGAGTACTCCTCATAAGTTCCTATGTTTCCTTTTGCTTATTAGAAAACCCCGACCAACGCAAGAAGCCTTCTGTCATTCGGGCCCCCGACCCGTCCCTGTTAAGCAAACTTCCCCGACAGATTTGAGGTCCCTTGTTGACACAGAATACCCTGTTAAGCACTGTGGGCCCCCAAGTAATGAACGTAATCAAACCATACAAAAGAAGAGAAGCTGAATCGAATTGCTAATTAGGTGGACAACTCAACGTACTAGCCTTGACCTTCGTTGTTAACAGTTTCAGTATATGCACTGCGCAAGTAGCTGATGAAAAAACTGTCGCACAGGAACGAACATAGCTGATCTACTGATACGATCATAAAATCGAAAAAAACTCGCCTAAAACCATCGAGAGACTCAAAAACCTCCAAGATGGCGATCGCTCCCAAATTCAGATCCTTATGCAATTGCGGGTCATCCCCATAGCTAGCTGGGTATTTGATAGCATGTTCTGGCTGTCTAGCCATTTTGGTTCCGCCTTAGGCCTCTTGAACTTATCGGCTATTGTTGCTCCAAGTGGACTCAACTCAACTTGTGTGCGATTTATGTAGTGTTCAGATACACTTGGGCTAAAGAGGTACCTGGTTGTATCGAGTTATCTATGACAAATTGGCACCACAAATAATTGTGGTGTGGTACCTCTAGATGGTCACTATTCGTGGGCTCGTATGGCCTTGTTTAGTACAGTTGAACTGGCTGGGACTCATTCCAGCACACAAACGAGCTTGAAATAGTAATACGCACTGTGAATTGTTGCATATCAAAATCCTCGCGCTTGCCATCCTATATACCGCTCATTTTATCAGCGCGCCTGTTGTTGAAAACAATATTCCACAGTACACAAAACTATTAAACAGGCTTTTAAGCTTTAAAAGGTCTCGAGGGCTCAGGCGGACATGGAGCCGACTATTCAATGTTGGTGAACTCTGGCCGACTTAGATACCCGCATTGTCTGAGGGGCTCCTCAAAAAGTGCAATGGGACTTCTGACTTATATTTCAGGTCACGACCCTACGGGCCGCGATTCCTTATGTGACCTACAGCCAGTCCTTCGGACCCTTATGCCCTCTAACCGGGCGCTTGATCGTCGGTTCCGATAGGCCGCGCGTGCCCTTCTTCCGGCTTCATCTAACACTTCCCTTGGTTGGCTCGGGCCTTTGCGAGCACGGAACCCCCTGCTAGGCGCTGTGGGCTCCTGACAGATGCAGAGCCCCAGACCAGTGCAAATCACCGGTGCCGGCTTTATAGCTGATTGAGAAGTGGGCATCCCGGCCCACTAACGACACGGAGCCGAATGTGCTGTGCTGGTGGTGCTTGACCGACATATAGGCCCGTATCGACACAGGGGGCCCTCGATTGGTGCAAAGGGCCCTTTTGACCGCTATCTTTGGGCCCGTCCCCGCAGGCCGGGGCCCCTAACTAAGACTGACCAGTCCTTCGTACCTTGAGACCCTCCAACTGGGTCCTTCATCGGCGGACCCCGTGGGCTCTCTAGGCTCTTGGGGCCTCTTCAAACACTGCCTCTGGCTGACACGATACTCCTGGCCAACACAGACGTCGGGCGTCGTCGGGCGCTGGCAAACGCTGCAGCCTCGACCCATGTAAATCGCTGGCTCTGTCTTTGTTCCTACCTGGGAAATGGACCCTTAAGCCTATGTTGCCACGGAGTCGGCTGTACGTTTCTGGTGATGTTTAACCGACGTAAAGGGCCTTATCGACTCAGGGGGCCACTGATGAACGCGCAAGGTCCTCTGGCTGGCATTGGAGTGCCCGGTCCTGCGTGCAGGGGCCCATGAACGCGACCTCCGGCAGGCCTTTCAGGCCTGAATCGTAGGTTCCGAAGGATCAAGAGGGCGGGGGCACGTGCTCCCTTTTCCCCTCTGGCTGCCTATGCTGCGACACACAGTGGCGTCGCCGGGAGAGTGCAAGTGACAAATCGCCTCGGCCAGTCCGAAACTAGTGCCCTGAGTGATGACATTTTGGGAAATCCGAAATAATGGCTTTGCAAAGCAATGCTCGTGGCCACGATTATGGATGCACAGCATTGTTCGTCTAGATCATGGATCTGGTTTGGGTTCCAAAATGGGGACATTTATACGGAAACAAATATTTCGCTGGGACAGGGCTGTAATATATTTGATCGCTAAACGCCGTTTACTGCTGTCACGTTTAAGTTCAAGCCTAAAAAATCACTGTGTGAAGCATTTTTTTATCCGATGATTCTACAATGCTTTGAAATACAGAAATTCAGGATCTAAGCGAAACGTTGTCAGCTTGCAGCCGACCAGGGTTAGTACTACAAATTTTGCAGTCTTAGCTTGCGGCAATAGATGTCTGGATTTACGTTTGAGGGATAAAACCAAAGAGCAAGTAAAAGTTGCATAGACTTTCCCCAAATTTCTGGATTTTTTCCCGATTTAGAGCAATATTTTTCAGATTGGGTGGGGCAATTCCTCTTCGGCGACGTCACTGACGAACTATCCTCAAATGGGACATATGATGTGCTGTACGTAAATATGTCCATGACAAGCCAGCAGACAAATGCAATGCGCAGATATGATGTGCACGCCGCTTAAATGTTTCTTAAAAAGTCGTCATTTTGTTCTATAAGCGGTGTGTGCTAAACTCTAAACCAAGTTGTCATATAACGAAAAGTCGCAACACCCAAAATCCAAAGTAATCAACCAATCTCATTACGCGCAAATCGCTACGAGGACATTGGTCTGCCATTCATGTAAGCCAGGTCATGAGTTGCATCGCAATCTAGGAGCTTGGAGATTAATTTTCAGCATTTCACTATGTCTTCTTTGCAATGACAGTCCTTTAGCATTTTCTGTTGCTTAACCTTGAGCGCTTACTTCGAAACGTGTGATCAAAACAAGACGCGCCTACAACATGGACGGAGGGCATGTAAACGGTGAGATTGAATGCCAAGTTGTGGTTTGAGGTGATATTTCAAGTCACCAGGCAGGCTCCTATTATGTTGCGACTGTACCATTCGGTTTTGGGCACATTAATGTGAGCTTGTGGCTTTTAAATTGGATGTTTCAAAGTACACTGGTGCAGATCAGGCCAGACCGCAACCAAAGCAATGACCTTGAGAAGTTGGGGGCAGTTAAAGTGCTATACTAATTGGAGCAGCGGGCTGCCGTATTGTGGGCATGAGCCAGACATTTGGAGCTACTTCTTTTAACTATACATACACCCTAAGTATTAAGACTCCCAGGTAGGCCACTGTTAGCCAGTCTGCAAACCATGACAACATGTCAATGAGATGTTCTGCACATATGTTTAACCTCCCTTGCCACAGAAGATGATTTATAGCCAGGTTTGGTGTTTTTTATGTGTCCTCACCAGTGTTATATGTCACAAAATACATTATGATGCTCTCAGTGCCCCAATGCAATGGTTTTAGCCACAAAATCTTGATGACCTGTCACAACTCAAAAGTTGTGCCCCTCCTCGGCCATAACAATATTTCATTTAATATGCAATGATTTACAGACTGGAGATTTAGCATGACCTGCCCATGTTTGCATAGGTGATAGGTGTAACCATATCTCTGAGATAAGGGTTGGGGAGAAATCACGATGATATGGGCCAAATTGTAATCTGGAGGAGAAACTGACCCTGATAATAACATATGCAGTGGGACAGTATGAAGAAATGTGCCTTCTGTAGGCAAGATTGTAGGGAACATATCCACATTTTGTGAAAATGGCAGAAGGGCACACTCCCTAACCCTGCAGTGGCCATTGGGTACACCCTTGGCATAGCTTGCTTATTTTAGGACTTCACCTCAAAATTTCAGAAAGGTGCTCCATTGTTTGTCCATGCCCCAGGCATGTGCCAAGATGCTGTTGAGATCTGGCCGCTATGTTTTGTAGACTTGGCATGTGCCAACTGCAAATAGTTAACATTAATTTGTTGCTTTTGGCTAATAGTTCTGGCACCCAGTTGAGTTGGCAACTATGCATGCAGCTCCCCTTTTTTAATTGGTGAGAAATGTGATGCAATAACCACACTTGTGTATGCCTACCTGCCTATTTTAAGGCATGAAATGGGCTTCATTTGTTTCACATAGTAATTCAACAGTGAAAACATTGACAAATGTGAACATGTGTTGGGCACCAATGGGGCATGAACCTTATTAGTTTTTACCCTTTTTGTAACTTTTATTGGATATGCACATTGTGTACAAAATTGCTGGGTGGCATATGTGATGCAAACATAGGCGCATGTGTTGCAAGCAACAAAGATTATAGATGAGAAGAATGAAGACCCAATATCCATGTAGTCCACAGCACAGCTAGTCTACATTTATGGTGAGCAGACCAAAACTAACTGAAATGCTCACTGTATTAAAACTCCATTCTATATGGCTGATTTAGCAGTGATCTTTGAGAAGTACTTGATGGGATAATTTTTGCAAGTAAGGTTAGGCCAACATCTGTTTTCCACACTTTTCCATCAAATACATGTGTCCAGATGGTAAGGGTGGGTCCAGGATCTTACATGGTTCTTATAGGATATTTATGGGGTCTTGGGATCAGAGACTCACATCTCTTTTGGGTGTCAGGCTTATGTCTAGGACATGGCACATTTGTTTGCAATGTTGGCCCCAGGATTTTGGTTACAATTTGCACAGTAAACAGCCACATGAGCTATCAGCCACTCCACGCCAAAACTGCGTCTTTTCTTTCAGGTGTACCAGCACTGGCATGATGGACTCGGACAGCCTGATCAAGCTGCTGCCGGAGCTGCTGAACCATGGGCCTGACCAGCCAGCTGGAGGTCGGCCGCGGCTCGGCGGCTGGTCCGCTGGTGCCGCCTGTTCCGATGAAGCCTCGGGACAGTCGCAGTCCGACTGTGACCAGACATCAGACAGCACGTCAGATGAGCAGGAGGACGGGTCAGAAGAAACGGAGCAAGGTAAATCTGCGTGCTGTTGAAGTCAACTGCACCCTGTGTTCAATGCTGGAGTGAAACTGAATGATTACCGCAGGCTGTCAAGGATGCATCCAATGAGTGTGGGTGGGTGGAAGGGTGGATGGATGGGTGGGTGGGTGCGTGCGTGCGTGCGTGCGTGCGTGGGCGGGTGGGTGCGTGGGTGCGTGGGTGTGTGGGTGTGTGGGTGGGGGGGGGGGTGGGTGGGGTGTGGACAACCGGATGATGCCCCCCCCCCCAAATAAAAACAGTAAAAGTTTGGCAAAAATGACTCATTTCCAAACTTTGCAGGAAATTTAATTGGGATAGGGCCAGTCGAATTCCAGATAACAAAAGCGTAATCTGCGTATTTCACCGGCATTTCTGTCGTGTCAGCAGTTTTAAACAACTTCTATTTTTCGATTGTTTTTTTATTAGGGCCAAGTGATCTTTGTTATAATTAACTTAAGACCTCGGGCTGCAGAATAAGTCCGGCTACAATAGGAAGGCGCGCAGCATTTCTGTGCTGACTTCGTGTTCAAACGAAGCTGCCATATCATGCCCCGAGTCTAAAAATATGCGGCTGTCTACGTATGTCTGTCTGTTCCTTTGTTTGTTGACTTTGTCCAGGTTAATAAGAGGGCAGTAAGAGCCGGACATTCTCACAGCACGTGTGTACACCGGTGAGGAGTGCGTACGCATGCTGACAACTCCGTGCGGGGATTGATGAGTGCCTTACGATAGTGGGTTTTTAAACCCGTAGGGTTACTGTAATGGTATGTGTGGTAGAACAAGTTGACTGGCATTCAAGCCGTCGAAAAGGTTTTCCCTTTGTTGCGTGAGCAGCGATGAACTTTGGGATCACCATTTGTAGAACGTTGATTCACGTGAATGGCGCCAGTGTACGAATTGTAGGATCGCAGATCGAGGATGATCGTGGGATTGTATGTGCAGACAATTTATTCAATGACACTTGGCGCTATCGAAGATGTCGGAGCTGTGATTATTCGACAACCTGTGGATTGCGGATCAGACTAAGCCGTGCGTTATCAAGCATTGCGCCAGTGGTAGGACGGGCAGAAATGCAACGGCAATATTAGAGACGACATGGTTGGCTTGAAATTTCCGGCATGCGAAAGAAGGCGCGGTGAGCAGGTCGACAGCCGAGCGCAGGCCGTCGCTGGAACGGTACGCTCGCGCGTCATGTTGCACGCCGTGTATAAAAGGTGAAACTCGCTTCAATCGCCGGCTTGATTGCGCGTCGTGCTATAGAAATAAATTTTGCACGCCTGCGGCACACTGAACTCGGTTTTGAGTTACCTAAAAACCGAACTCAGTTTTGTTAGTTGTACTCATCCCCTGTTTTGGACGCATAGATGTGAGCCATACGTTTGGAGTCATCGCAAAAATCGGGATTGCATGACGGTGTTGCCTTTTGCCACCGATGCGTAGGTGTGCAAGGAAACTTCACGACAATTGTTCAAGTGCATGTGCGTGTCCAAAAATGTCCAAGCACCACCAAACTGTTCGTGTTTAATAACCATGAGTTAACAATGCCTAGCATAGACGATGTTTGCACAGACCGTGACACGCTGCGCCGTAAAAGGAAGTGCATCACGCGACAGCCGAGGGAAGTAAGCGCGGGCGTGAAAACAAAGGGGACATGGGAAGCTGCCCCCTTGTCCCCCTACCCCGTCCCTCCGGAAAACGACGCAGCAATAGGTGTCGACTGAGCGCGATCAGAGTAGTCAGCCACATCCCAGATCGACAAAATCTTAACGTAAGTATTGTGATCTTGCATGAAATGATCCGAGCGGCAAACCGTCTTTGTCTCCAAACGTCAGGTACCAAGTTAATAGGACAGATGGACGTCGCTTGCATGATTATTGCACTTCCATGAAGTGCTCATGAAATCGAACCAAACGGAATGAATGAAATCCAGCAGACCTGTCACAAACATGAGTGGCATATTTTCGCCATATCCTTGACCAAATTTTGGCGCATATCTGCGCCAATTAAATTGCAGCTGGCAGGCGTGTACACATGCAAATAAGGTCGAGAGCATGCGATGTTATGTTTTTAGGTACGTAAGAAATTTTGCGCGCCTGTCTATGCCCGTCTGACCTATCCTGTCTGACATAAACCTGTCAGACGTTTCCAAAGCGGCTTATTGCTCATAGTTGGCTTCTGCTCTTTTTATGTAAGAACAGCTACCTCGCCTTATAACGCTTGGCCACTTACAGAATGCATGCATACACCACGACTTCGATCTCTTCCGGAACCGTTTCAAAGAACTTGTGGGGCGTGAGCTGCCGGCAAATCAAGACTTGCAGGGGGATGCGCGGTTTGCTGGGATGGAGCGGGGATATGACGGTCACTGGTGGAGATTATCCCCCCCCCCCCAATTGAAATGTTAATATGGGCCCTGACAGTCTCTCGTCCACACGTGGCCAGGCCGTCCCACATAAAACAGTCGTAGCACCGTTCCCTGATCGTAATGAATCTCTTCGTGTTTTTGGCGTAAAAATGGTAAATTTTGCAGCCAGGATGGTCTCGGGGGCGCGAAGTCGAGATTCTTTTTCACCAGTCGTAAGGTCGCGGGGCTGGCGCGGTATCAGTGACGTGTTTTGCGCCGCAACCACACTGGCGTTTTCAGGGCCCTGAATGACCCCCGCACCCCGATGGCGGTCCGGCCGCTGTCCACCGCTCGGACCGCTGTGAGTGAGCGCGTCACGAAGTCGGCGATGTTTGGTGCTCCGGAAGGCTGTCCATGTCACGAAGGGTATTTTCATACCGTGCGGCCTCGTCCTGGAACCACCTACCGCGGGCCAGTATGGCCTCCCGAAGCCGTGCTGCGCTCGTGCCTCAACTTGACCAATGTGAAGAAGAGGGTTTTGTTTTGACTTTGCAAACTATTCTCTGGCTCTTGACGTGCCATCATTTTTGCCGCATCTCCGTGTTTATCGTGCAAGTTGTAACCCTTTGGATCGAATCAAACACTAGGTGATATATATATATATATATATATATATGGAACGATTTCGTAGCAAAAACATGACCTGATCGAAAGCCTCAGACGTTTTTTTCTGTCAATAACACCCCATTATGAGCTGTTTGCAAAAATGCAGCTGCACATCGCTTTGCATGGGGAAATCACTCCTCTGCTGCAGAACAAGTTTGGATTCTACGAGGTCTGAAAAAGTTTATTGAAGTCTAACATCGGGGCCGCAAATTAAAGTGGTCGAAATCCAGAGTACAAATCGGTTTTGGGGGAGGTTTGTTCAACCTAATTGGCTCCTGCTCCGCCTATTTCGGAAGGTGAAACCCCTGGTGACATCTCCCCACCCAGTGAATCACCTGCCCACTTGTAGCCGCTTATCAATAGCTGCGATCCGTGACTAGGTAAATCGAGTCACACGAATTGGGCATATGTACACAACTGTCTCAAGAACTGCACGTGCCGCAGCGGCGAAATAAACAATTTGGTAGCGCTTGTGGTGCACGTAATGGAGGGTTCGAGCAAGCTGAGGTGGGAAGGACGAGGACGTTCATTTCTTGTTGATGTATTGACGCTCATTTCTTGCTGATCTTGATGATGTTTCTTGTTGTTCATTTCTTGTTGAAGTGATGTAGCGTCATAATGTACATTAAACGATGCAAAAATTTTCCATCACAGCCTTTGCATATGCCGTTGCGATCATCCCTTATCTGGCGCCAAAACTCGAAACGCGGCCGACAGCCTGACAAAGGCACCTTAATTGGACTACCTTGTCTATTACGTGACTCGTAGCTCATCATCATAACTATTTACGTATGCAGGTTGGCGTCTATGTACTGGAGGTGTACAAATTTGAAATGCCTGGTGGGCGAAGTTTTCAGAATCATGCGTGTATTTGTTGAAAGATTGCATCGGAAACCCCTCGTGGTAATGTTCGCAGGCCCCTTTAGCTGGTGAGCGCAAGCTTTGCCCATTGCTGATAATTTTATCGCATATCAGAAAATGTAACGACACCAGCATAACCAACGCCATATCAACGACATGCAGTGTGCACAGATGCGGGGGAGCGTATGCTATTTGTGTATTGTGTTTGTGCGGGATCCCACGTCGATGATGATGTTAACATGCCTCGCTGACCACAGATGTCCAGCACGTCGGAGAACAACGCTCCCCGAAGCTGGTCGACCTGGACGAAATAGAGAGGTTCCTCGATGATATCTCGACGTCCCACCAATCCTCCGGACAGGGTAGGTATACGCTGAGCAGATACGACATGAACTCCGTGCATAGCTAGTCCCTTGGATGGATATATGCGCTGAGCAGACACGATGTGACTTCCGTGCATAGCTAGTCCCTGGGATGGATATATGCGCTGAGCAGACACGATGTGACTTCCGTGCATAGCTAGGCCCTGGGATGGATATATGCTCTAAGCAGACACAATGTGACTTCCGTGCATAGCTAGGCCCTTGAATGGATGGGGTCGCGCGTCGTCACGGAATATGGAAGACGGCCGAAATGATTGTATGAACGAAGTGTTTTAGGTTGCTTTTTTGGCATTTCGTCAATTCTGTTCTGAAATTTAATCCGGATCGGTTTTGAACTTTTCGAATTTTCGGTTGAATCAATTTCTTGGGCCTGAGCTTTTGTTAAGCAGTGCCTGTTGTGGGAACCCTGACCTCGCTATGTGATCGTGTTACTCCAGTTCAACACGTCGGCATTTTGTTGTGAAAGTTAAACATTCAGCAATGACCGGCACAGTGTGCCCCGCCCTGTGACCTTATGTGACCTTAGCAGGTGCTGCCACCGGCGAGCAAATAGCCAGCACTTGCAGGGTTTCGAAACCAGGAACCAGATTCCGGGTGGATTAGGAATCAAGCGCTTTAGTGAACCGAGCTATGGAGGGGGGGGGGGGGGGGGGGGCGGAACGAAACAATTCGTAGTGTATGAAGATGGAATGTTTGTAATATAATATTCATATATATATGGCGTATCTTTCAAGCGTATTTACATCACTGATCATTAGCTGTTGTACCGGTCGTGTACTCTACTGTGCGTATGAAAAATGGCCTATGCAGGTGACTATGCAGGTGACGCGCTCTAAAAGCCAAGTTTTGCACGGACCTTGGCTCAGATTTGTTTTTCAGACAGTTGACAGCAAAACGCACAATTTGCGTATTCTTTGCGACAGTTTAAGGAACAGTCTGCAAGATTGGTATTTTTTGTACTGCCCGTAGTATCAATGTATGTTATTGCAGGTATGGCAGGGATGGGTCGAGCTCAGTGCATGCCCGCGCAATCACACGACCATCGGTGCATTGTCACTTGCTAGCTTCTGACATTTACATTTGCGTGCTGGGCTGTCGGCTGGTCGTCGTGCAGGTCGACTGGGGAGTGTTTTGACGCTGCCGGTGTCACCGCAGGCCGGCCGGCCGCCGGAGCCACCGGCGGCCGGCCGGCCAGTCGGAGTATGGCGACCATCCTGCGGGAGGTGGAGGAGCTGGGCCGTCGCACGCTCTCCTCGGCCTCGCTGCCGGGCGGCGGCGCCGCCGTCAGCTGGGCGCGGCCGTCACGCAGCCCGCGGGCCCGGCCGACCGAGCAGCGGCGCCCCCGACCCTGCCCTGTCGCCTCCGAGCCGGCCCTGGTGGCCGCTGGTGAGGCCGGCCGCCGCGTCCACTATTCGCAACAGCACCTGGGCACTGGCGGCGACGCGGCGGCCAGTCCGACGCAAGTGCCATCTGTTGACGCGAGTGGCAAGCTCAGCTCCTCGGAACCGACGATTGGACAAGCATTACACGGCTTGTTGTCCGCCGAAAAGAGAAAGAATCTCAACCTGACGGGTACGTTCAACCCACTAGTTCAGTTACTCGAAGTCATTTTTTGGTTTTAATTTGTGTTTGTTTGCTTAGTTTCAGAAAACATTTCGGAAGAGCATTGTATTTGGGCTCGGGTGTACTGCTATACTCTTGTGCTGGGTGTCAACACTTGCGCTTGGTTGTCAATGCGTTATACCAACAGCATTATGCGAGCAGTGCCCACCAATCTAGCGTCAGTTAGCTCTCAGCACGCCCTTATGTCTGGTCACTGCATGCGACTAGGTCTATGCTCAAACGACCCCACCCACTCCACGTTCGCGTCCGGTTTGCATTGGTGCCACGTGTCTGAGTCGGCAACTCTTTATGAAGTCCGTCCCGACTACAGCTCTTTCGAAGCCATGCGCTCGCTCGCCTAGTGCTGTAGCATGCGGCACCGAGCCAACCTTCGCCCCTGGCGGCCGTCTGCAGTGGGAGCGACCGGCCGCCACGCCCTGCTTCTGCGGCCCCATCCGGGGCCCTCAGCTGTTCTGCGCACAGACGGGTCACCGACCGCATCGCGGGCGGTACTTACTCGAGCGACGGCACCGGCCTGAAAACCAGGCGTAGAAATTACGAGTTAACCCGTCCACCGTTTCCCCTGCCCCCTCCCGGAGCGGCTTCGTCTCGAGGTGCACGTTCGTTACAGCATTAAGGAGCATTAAAGCCAGCTGTTGTTCTCAGCCGACATGATTCTTTTGAAGCAAAGCAGCCTGGAATCCGAAATACAGATGAAAGGCCAATGGGAAGAGCACATTCGAAGCCTGATGGCCGAAAACTCCTCCCTGAGGCTTGAGGTAAGCTCGAGTGGCATCAGAATGGTGCACGTGTTAACCCCTTTCGACATATAGGAGCGTCTCATGTTACTTTCCATGGTTTTATTATTACTTGGGGAGACGTATTAACACTCTTCTCTCGTCCAGTAAAAAATGGCAGATAGCTGGAACTGACTGTTAGCTCTGGAGAAATAAACCACTATAGCCATGATTTGATTTCTCATGTTCCAACCTGGCATGCCAACCACAAGAGGTAACTTGAAATTACCATAGTGAAAATTGTCAAAGTGATAATTGATGATACTTTTCCGCTCCGTTTTTACGTTTTTGTTCTCGAACACGTTCGCGAAATCGTTAGATGAATGTACCGCCATCAAAGGTACGACTTTGTGATGCTGGCAAATGTGGCAAGGCCGCCGAAACCGGCGAGGATAGAACGGAGAGCATTCTCGACGTTGAATTTAAAACTGAGACGTTTGCACGTAGAAATGGCTGATTCCGTGTGCTTTTACATGCCATCACGTCTTGGTTTTGTCCCTTTGTGCCTGCCCGGGGCTCTACCCTCCCCCCCCCCCCTCTATGTCTTGACTATAGACCATAACGGAGTGCTGACTAGCAACCGCGACCGAAACTTCCCCCGCGCAGTGCGGTGACTGAAGATCTGCTCTCGCTGTGCCTCTGTGCCGCCGCTATGCCCGCTATGCCCATCCGCTCCGCCCGTGGTGACTGGTGACCCTGGCAGCTATGGCGACTGTGTATCAGTGTGTGACACAGCGCGCCATAGTGTGTCAGCTATGGACTGTGGTGACTGACCATGACCCTCTGCTTCCTCGCGCTCTCTCACTCTCCCCCCCCCCCCCCCCCTATGGCGACCGTGACTACCCTTCCTGCACCTGCTGCGTCGGTCTCGCCCGATGTCCCAGGACCTCCTGTTGGGGCCGTGGCCTGCACCCCATGCCAGCTGTAGTTACCGTGATCCTGCCCCATGTACCAGCTGTGGTGACAGGGACCCTTACCCCTGTGATCCTGCCCCCTGTGTCAGCTGTGGTGACGGGGACCCTTACCCCTGTGATCCTGCGCCCTGTGTCAGCCGTGGTGACGGGGATCCTTACCCCCGTGATCCTGCTCCCTGTGTCAGCTGTGGTGACGGGGACCCTTACCCCTGTGATCCTGCTCCCTGTGTCAGCCGTGGTGACGGGGATCCTTACCCCTGTGATCCTGCTCCCTGTGCCAGCTGTGGTGACCGTGACCCTGATTCCTGCAGTGACCGTGACCGATCCCGCCGTGTGACCCAGGTGGAGCGGCTGCGGTCTCGGGTGCCGCCTACCTCTGACCTGGCCGGCCCGGACCGCACCAGGCAGCGCGCGCTGGACCGCCGGCTGGAGGAGCAGAACCGGCTGCTGGACGGCTTCAACGCCGAGAACGCCCGCCTCTACCGTGAACTGAAGCAGCTCAAGGTGGGTCCGGCGCCGCAGCGGCGCCGTGAACACGAGGCCCGACGGCTGGCAGCTGGGCCTCATGCGTGTGGCCGAGTACGAAGCAATTGGCTGGGGAGGGGGGGGGGGGGGGGCGTTAGAATGACAGTTTGGGTTTGTACCGTGCTGTCGCACACAGTTCATGGGAAATCGCGTCCATTGCTCGTGCCACGATGGTGCGGGTGTCACTTCTGGTGTATTCTAGTAATTTGGGTTGATTTTTAAACCCGCTAGGCCATAATGGCACAGGATGGTTTGCAATCTGAGATGCCTTGAAGTGACGGCTTTTAACTCGGATGCATAGGCAGGGGAACTTTGTATGTGCACACGAAGCCCGCCATGCTCAGCAGTTTAATGGTAGGCTGCTTGCGATAATATTTCTCCATCAGTCTGAACCAGGAATTTCCAAGGAGTATCTTTGATGTGCAGTGCATGCGACGCCATGGCCATGTCGCGTCCAGTGGACCGCCGCTGGCCAGCTCCCAGCTTCACAGGCGTTACACTTCAAATCAGACCGAACGAAGCGCCCGCTCAGGCAGTCGAGTTGGGCGCCCCCTGGTAGCATGACGCGGTCTCCATTACGGCGGTTGTAACGGTGGAGGTCGCCTCTCTCTACATACTCGCTTGTAAACTGTGCACTATAATATATATATATATATATATATATATATATATATATGTATACGTATGTATTTGTATATATAGCCATATATATATATATATATATATATGTATAATTAGCGGCGGATATATTTATGCACGCTCCCGTGAATGCGGCATATTATGTTCTGTTTGCGATCCGTACTTTCTTTTCCGCATTTCATCAGCAGGCAGGATGAGTAATGTCACTTCAAATGTATTGTTCTGAATCATAACCCATACACTGCTTGTCTGCTACGCAACGGATGGCAACACTCAAAACAAGACCTAAAAACAAAACCTAAAAACTGACAATGCATCGTCCCCGTGACAATGACAACAAGATGCCCCAATGTTCTTTCCATCACATGCTTCTGTGTGCTTTTGTGTAATCTTTATACCGCGTATGGACTTGTCTTGACATAGGCGTACATCACATACGTGTAGACGTTTTGGTCCAACGTGTGTTGGCGCATGCACCACCGTCTACCAGAACAGTGGAACACGCCTACCCTGTTGGCGGAGCTCGGTCGGCTGGTGTACCCCGGCACCGGCCGGCCACGCTGCGTCGGGGAGGGATGGGGGGAGGGGGCGCCGGCGACAGCCGCCCTCAGCGGATGCGGTGTGCGGTGCGCGGGTGCGTCCGCCGCTCACAAGATGGCCCGGATCATGGCCTTCACTGCGGCCGCCGTCTCGCGGCCGCTCTGTTCGATCAACGACGATGGCAGGAGGAAGCCGTTGAATCCCTTGTCACGCAGCTCGAACGTGAAGCTGTACTTGATATTGGCTTTGGCCTTGGCCCAGTCGTCGGAGCCGCCGGACGCGGCGTACAGCAGCCTGGACGCCTGACCGACGCGAAAGGCGGGCCCTCCTGCCGCTTGCAGCGCCGCTGCGCCCTTCTGCGCCACCCTCAACAGCTCGTCATAGTCGGATGGGCGTTCTGTGCCGTGGCCGTACGGCACGAACAGCATCTGCGAGTAGCTGCGGAACAGGGGGGGGGGGGGGGGGGGGGGGGCGTTAGAAGCTTTCGCTGGCAGCGAGAGAAGAAGGGGAAGGGAGGAGAGAGCGATGGGCTGAGCAGAGTCGATGAGGCATGCCAGCGGTATACACTAAATCACAAAGTGACACTGATAACATTTCTAAAGAGAGTAACAGTGCTTGGCGAAACGGAGAAAGGAGATATCAGGAACGGAATGCCGCTTATACTGGCCCCTTTACGATCATAACGTTCACAGACAGCAGTGACCATTTCACGCGTTACGCGGTTGTCTATTTACCGTGCCTCAACTGAGCTAGAGCTGTGACGAAGTTACCTGTGAAACGAGATGTACATCTCCATCTTGTTCTTGTGCTGGAGCAGGAAGTCGCGGACACCGCGCGTCTCGGGCTCGGAGAAGGGGCGCGAGCCGGGGTACACGTCACTGCACGGATTGGTGGACGTGCCGGCCTGCGGTGACCGGGCGCCGCGTCACGCGGGGCGAGGCAGGCAGACCAGCGCCCACCTCCTCCAGTCACGTGCAAGCGAGCGGCCCGCCCTCGCCAGTTTGGTGGAGATGAGCTACCGTTTGGCGGTGTGGCTTTATCGCGCGACTCCAGTCGTGCATGCGCTCTGGATGGTGCCATGCGTTTACAGAGGTGTTTTGCGGAAGATGATCTTGGATTCCTAGCGGTGTTCACCTGGTGTCCGCCCACTCTGAGGCTCGATGTTGGCAAGACCGTGCATTATGGCAAAATGGGCGTGAAAAGATGTTACAACGTGCTGTCACCCAGCATAGGGCCACCTGCTCTCCATGCGGCTCCTAACACCATGAACTATTACGTTACAGCAGTGCCACATGTAGCGTGGCGTTGTTCTCTTTCGGAGGCTTGAAAAACCGAAGTGCAAGGTCACGCCAGGGCGAACCAATTAGCTCATGGAGGGCAGCAGACACCCATCCGACAGATGCTGGTAGTCTCGCGTCGAGAGAGACGAATACTGCAGGACAGGCCGTCAGATCACAGCGTGCTGTCTGACAGGCCGTCAGACCGTAGCGAACTGTCGACCGTCGAACTGTCGATCGTTTGACAGACCACAGCCTGTCAAACCATAGCGAGTTGTCAGACCATAGCGAGCTATCGGACCGGCCTTCAGACCATAGCGAGCTGTCGGACCGGCCGTCAGACCATAGCGAGCTATCGGACCGGCCGTCAGACCATAGCGAGCTATCGGACCGGCCTTCAGACCATAGCGAGCTGTCGGACCGGCCTTCAGACCATAGCGAGCTGTCGGACCGGCCTTCAGACCAAAGCTATCGGACCGGCCTTCAGACCATAACGAGCTGTCGGACCGGCCGTCAGACCAAAGCGAGCTATCGCACAGGCGGCCAGACCATGGCGTTCTGTCGGACAGGCCGTCAAATGAGAGCGTGCTGTTGGGCAGCCCTCCAGACAGCGTGCGCTGTCGGACAGCCCTCCAGACAGGCGTGTGCTGTCGGACAGCCCTCCAGACAGGCGCGTGCCGTCGGACAGGCGGTCAGATAGGCGCGAACCGTCTGACGGCCTGTCCGACAGCGCCATCGGACCCGAGCGCGACGCGACGAGCCGCCCGCGCTGACCGACCCGGACGCACCTCGCCCCAATGGTAGCCGAAGTTGCGGTTGGGGTCGGCGCCGACGCAGCTGGAGCCGGGCGTGCGCGAGCGCGTCTTCCTCCACATGCGTCGTCCTGCGGGCGAGCGGGCCGTCAACGGGTTGCGCTCGGCTGCGGCCGCCGAGCGTGTCAAATTCAGGCGCCGCCGGCCGCGCCGGTGAGCTCAGACACGCCGCGGTGCACCTCACGGCAGGCGGCGTCTCGTGCGTGACGGAGACGGCCCAGGCCACTGGTTACCATGCTGAAGTGCATGGCAAGGTGTCACTTATTTCGTGATCCTGATGCCATTGAATCAGGCGAGTGTGCCACAACGTTGTACGCCTTTAGCCCAAAAACGATTTTTTTTCAGTAAGCCCTATTTCGTTACTGTTTCCTGTCTGCTATCCGACATCACGCAGGCCTTCCCCTCCCCTCCTCATGATTTCCTCGGCAACGGTGGCGGAAATCCGCCGTCACGTTGTGTTGGTACTGCGCGGTGCCTCGTGCTCCCTGACACCCGTGCAGCCTGTCAGGGGCGGTCCGGCGTCAGCTACCCGTGTGGGTGTACTCGTAGCCGTCCGGGTTGAGGACCGGTATCATGTAGATGGTGAACGCCTTCAGAATATCCTGCTCCTTGTACGAAGTCGCCGAGAAATCCTTGACCAGGTAGGACACGACGGCCGGCGAAATCCATTCGCGGGCGTGAATGCCTGAAACAGACGCACGATCCTTCACGATCGCTGCATAGCCGGCGCGCGCAGGTCAACGTCGTGTTTTGTAGCGTTCTTTGCCCCGATGGATGCATTACGAGAGATGCTCTGAGGCCATGTGATGAGCATTGGCGACAGTTACGTAATGTTTACGTCTGATCAGTGCGCTGCAGCTACCATTGTGTAATAGCTGGACTATTCTGGTCAGGTCTGTCATTGGTCGGCCATGTCATCGCGAGTACAGCCGCGGGTCTCCTTTGTGGGTCATGGCCCTCGTGCCACGCCCGTTCGGATTGACGCTGCGTCTTGCTTTCACCGCGGCGTCATGAGTTGTGCTCACTCTTGCAGTTGTGAGCGTCGCGCCACGCTGCATTGGCATGCCTCCCATTAAGTGCGTGGGTTACGGTGGGACAACCCGTCCCCGTCCGACCGACCCATCTCACCTCCGTCAATCCAGATCTCGCGCTCTCCCAGGCCGCATCGGATGCCCTTGACGTTGCGGCCCTCGGTGCTGATGCCGATGCTGAAGGTGCTGCAGAGACCGCGGTATTCGTGCTCCACATAGTCCATGTACTGGTGGTGGACGGCCAGCCGGTGGTAAGCCTTCCAGGTCAGCTGGTAGCCCTGGCGCCCCTCGAGCAGCTCCAGGTAGAACGGCGACGGTATCGGGTTCTGGCGGACAATGGCGTCCTGCCGGGCGGCGGTGAGCGGTGGCGTCAGACGCGCCCCGCAGGGCCGACCTCGCCGCCAGACCATCCAGCCGGCGCGCGACGCGGGCCGGGGCTCGCGCTCGCCTTGGCTGCTGTTGAGCTCTGGCAGGATCAGTGGGAGGCTCATCGCTCAGTGGAAGCGCCGCGAGCTTTCGGAGGCGGCGGTGTGCTGTAGCGTAAGCTGCGCGTCATGCATTGTCGCGGCGCGTTCGCGCCAGACGCAGGGAAGTGATAACGGGAGATGAAGGGGAGCTGGAAACAGCGGATCTGTCCACAGAATGGTCTTTGGGAACCCGCTGTTCATGTCGTTCTGTTCATGATCTGTTGCGGACATTAATGTTTTTTTTTTTACCTTGCTCGCGCAGTTGGCATCCATCCCCACTAATGCTAACTTGGGCCATTACGTATGTCATTTCGCTTTCGCGCAATCACCAATGATCTGCTCTCTACATACCAATTACAATGCACGCATAGCGTGCCGTGGTATGAGAGTAAGTTTGACATTACGTTAATTGGTGACCTCTACAGGTCAGCGGCCGCCGCGGCAGCCGGTGACATTTAGCTCTGGTGGCCAAGGACCAGTTTGCTGTCGAATGAAGTAGGCCATATTTAGTCGTTCGGATGTAACGTTAAATGACGTGCCTCCGCACGTCCAGTTTCTGCTTACACAGCGTAAAACAATTGATCGATCCGTTATTTTATAGGGTGCTCGGTATTAATAAGCTCTCCTTGTTGAGCTTTCCCTCTAACCTGAACCATCCCGCTAGGGCGGCAGTTGTCCCATACTACTACTAGCCTTTTCCGGGCTCTGGCGGAGCTAGCGCTTGGCCAACCCGGAAAGGAAGCGGGGAGACCACGGCGTGTATCCTAGGGGTGACCTGTGGGTGTTCGTAGGATATATCCAGCGTCTGATCTACACGGAGGCAATACTAAAATGATCGTATCTGAAAACCGAGCTGATAGATGGGGAATGTCCGTTTTTTGCCATTAGGACCCCTTTTCGCACATGGGTCCACCGCCCACACATCGAACACACCCTCTGCCCAGAGCACTGGCCGGGGCGAAAAGCGCCGAACGTGTGCCTTCGAGTTTCACCCTTCAACGGACTTGGGAAGTGAGGTTACAAGACGCTGCGCACGCATTCGCACCACAGTTCCAAGCCTCGTGTCACCTGCAGCTCGCCTGCGTTTTGAAGGGAAAAACGGCGGGACTCTCCACAGCAATGTGGCTAATTTTCGTAGCCATCGAGTGTCATTTCTATTTTCACGTTGATAGGCGGACGGGAAGGAAAAGCGTGACTTGCCATTCCAAAAGCTCGACATCTTTTTCAAACCACATCTTAGTTCTGTATATCTGTGGAGATGTGGAGGATGACGCTGGTTCGCCGATTCAAATGATGTGGCTGTGCCTCAGGATTTAAATGCCCTAAATATCAAGACCTCTGGAGCCCTGCGGCGGTGGCTCGCTCTGACCAGTGCTGCCGCAAACTCATTTAATGAGCACAGCGGCATGCGGGAAGTTTCCCAATGAGGGCACAACTGAAATAATCACTGAAAATCAATTGTAGTACGCCACTGACGCGAGAAATTCCGTCATGACGGAAATGAAATAGCGCGCACTCGATCTTCTTCTTTTTGCGCGTGCCTCGAATTTTTAAATGTCAACATGAAGTAACGCTCTTCTCATGTAAGCCCAAAAATTGTGGAGGGGACGGGCACGTGCTCCCTGGGTTACCACGCGGGTACACCCCTGAATGAGCACTTACTAGAAAGCTTACTAGTAGCTTGGGCAACGCATTAAAGCTTAAATGAATTTAAGTCCTGGCATGTACCTATCTCCCGCTTTTGTTATGATATCAAAACATGACCTCGAAACCCGACAGCATGTCGTCCTCGTATTTTACGTCAAGACAGCACGAAGGGTCCTGACGGACACGAACAAAATATCGATGCATTCGGCTTCTGTTTACGGCGATGCGGTCTGTGGGAATCAACTGCCAGGTGTCATAAGAACGACATGCTGTAGTTCGAAGGGAGAATGACATTTCCGAATCCAAAGTAACCGAGCTTGAGGGCCAATAGTTTGCGGTTTGCTTCGCCGGGACTCATTTCGAGGTATGACGTCATCAACAACGGCTCACAAAGACGACGGCCCGTCATCTGACAATTGGGAGGCCTATTGGCAGCATTAATGAGGAGTGCACTGTTTGGTGCCTGTGGATCCAGGCATGGCATAGCGTCAGAGACATGTGCCTACGTGCAACGGCAGCATTCAAAAGGTGTGCGCCCGTGCCAAGCTCGGTGTTCAGTGACGAACCCTCGGTGCCAGACCCGCACACCGTGTCCACCCGTGGCGGCCCCTACTGACCTGCACGTTTCCTATGTTGACACCGTAGCTGCCGCCGCTGTCTTTCAGCCGGCGGGTCAGCTCGCTCCTGACGTCGGGGGAGACCATGACGTCCACAGTGGGCACCAGCGGGCTGATAGGCGTCCAGAAGTCCACCCCTGGCGGGCAGCCGGGGCGCGCGGTCAGCCACGGGCGTCAACGCGGCACCGCCGCACCAACCGTTGCCGACGCGTGACTCCGGCACCCGTCGCGCCGTTACGTGGAGGCGATGGTCCGGTGTCCGATCCCGAGTACCTCCTGTGGGACGGCCGGACAGCCAGCTTCAGCGCTCACGCTGTGGATAGAGAGCAGCATCCCTCGCAATGAGGCCTGGAGTCTGTTCCCATGTTTGCTGTAAATGACAGGAGCAGTGTGTTGCCGGTGAGGCGCATGGTATGGCGCGGGACGTTCTATCAGCGTGGACGGGACTTCAGAGCCAACGCAGATACAGTCACACGCTCCTGGGGCCCTCACCATTGGACCTGATCAATGCATTTTTGAATGTCCTTTCATGGGAGGTTCACTGGCAAAGCGCATCACTATCACGTATGTCACATCATTATCACATCAGTCACATCACTATCACGTAAATCGCGCGCTGTCACGAGTCACGTGGAACGAGCATTGGCTGGCCAGGTCTCACCATTTCAGCCTTCGAACTCGATGGATGTGTACTGTTTGGCCACCTGACGGCCTCTTGGATGTCGAGTCTCTTGAAAGTTGAATGGTGTTGGCGGAGCTGGCCGGTTAGAGTGCGTAGAGAGGATGGGGATGCCAACATACAAGCGGCTTTGGCAGGATGATGGCTGAGGAGCTTCACCGGTCATCACCGTGGCAGCACGCCCCATGCTCGCGGGCCGTTCCGTGGCCACTGGCGTGTCGCACAGCAGGCCTACGAAGCTCTTCGTTTCAGAGTGAGATACCGGTCACTGATGATAAGTGACTCATGTTCTCATGTTCGAAGCGTCCTGCCAGCCGGCGGTTGTTATGCTGAGTTCGATTTTTAATGTTTTAGATAAAACAGGCGGTGTCTGCTTGTTTGGAGATGGATGGAAGACAGCCATACGGTCCCCCCAATGGCTTTCATTGAGTTCTGTTGCCTCCGCACCTTTAGATAAATGATACTGCTAATTCAACTTATGTATAATGAATACATCATATTGCTCATTAAATATTGGCTGAATATCTCGCTTCGTTTCCCAAGGGACGTGTCATACTTCGTTTCACGTTCGGGACGTGCTACATGCCACCCAGGGCCACCAGGCAGGCAAGTCAATTACCACCACCGTCAGCACAGAGGGGCCGGACACTGCTTCATGCCGGATATTGCTTTATACCGTTTTCAGACCCCTAACAGTTAATGGTTGGATTCAATTTGGAATGACTTGTTGTTGGGGGGGGGGGGGGGAGGGTGCTGACCGATTGGTTATTCGAGGAGACTTAGTAAATTCTTAGTAAATATCTTGGGTAGATGTTGATCATAGTGAGCCATGTCATGCCATGCCTGCGCAGTTCTCACGGTCCAACCTCCGTCGATTCAAGCCACAGCAAACTGCGCCCGAGATATTTTACTGGAGCGGCACTGGCAGCTTCCCGGTCTATTGATGGCGTAATTATCAGAAGTGCTACGTTTAGATCTGCCGTTGAATTTGGACCGTGCTCTTGCTTACATCGTGCGCTGTGGGTTTTCTAGAATAAAAGCCACACACGGCGAATCGATGCGGTCGTGGTTATTTGCAGCACGTGCTGAGGGCTCTGTGGCCAGTTCAGGAGGGGCCCTGACTGTATTGAGCGCTTTATCCCAGTTTGGATGGACGTCATGGACGCCACATGCCGGTGGTCAGCTGCTGGGAGGTGCACGAGGTGACGTGCCGGCGCGGTGGGAGGTGGGAGGTGACGTGCCGGCGCGGTCGGTGCCGAGTCGCTCACCTGGCCTGTCCTCGTACGTGCGCAGGAGGTCCAGAGTGCCGTTGCTGTCGACGTTCACGCGCAGCACCTGGTAGCCGGCGTACTGGGCCGCGTTGTCGGCCTGCTCCGTCCGCAGTCTCAGCGCTGGCACCAGGCCCGTGTCGCCGCGCGAGCTCTGCACGTGTACCTGGCCATGCCCGGGGACGGCGGCTGGCGTCAGCAGCAGCAGCAGCAGGGACACGAGCGGACCCATGGTGACGGTGCGGCGGCGCGGCGCACACTGCTCGCTCCGGCGCGGCCCGGTCCGGGCAGAGCTCCTCCGGCCGACCCGCCGGGGCAGAGTAGGTCGGGCCGCCGGTTTCACCACCGGCAGACGAAAGTGGTATACGTGCCGTCCGGGAGGCGCCGTGGTCGGAAGCGCGGGCTCGCGCGGCCCGGTCGTCCGACCGTTCGCCTCGCGGGGCATTACTCAGCGCCCGAGCGCGGATCGGCTCTGGCCCAGTTGACGCTCGTATCGCATGTCGGGAGAGAGTGGTCGCCCGCTCAGCCGGTTCTCGGGGGCGCGGAGGAGTGGCACCCGCGCCCGGCGTGTTTTCGCTCGCCGCGTCTTTAGATCGCAACACTGACCCGGCAGAACGGTGCGCGGTCATCGCGCGGGCCCGCTTAACTCTCAGTTCCGGCTGGGGTGCTTAGCGTGGAATATTGAACACCGCTGGGAGCTGTTGTTGCGCCCACAGATGATAGCTGTCCAGATACAGAAGCTGAGAAGCCGTCATCGCTCCGTCTTGTCGCGTTCACCTGGCCCCACCGGACCGAGTAAACAACGAAGCTCAGGCCGTGGGTGATCATTTACAACTTACCTAATGGGCAAAGGGAAGGGAGAGGTCTTGACGAACCGTTACGACGTGTTACAGGGAGGTGGGGGAGGCGAGTGCGCTGTTCTTGTACGAAGCAAACGATATACAGAGCACTTTCAACTATTGAATCATGTTGTGTCATGCCTCGTCGTTCCGTTCCTATAATTGCCAAGCCGTGCGCTTACAGTGGGACGCGGATCTTGTGTCTACCAACAAAACTGAAGTACAGCAGCTCTGCTGCCTTCAGGTAGGGTAAAGACGGTGAATTTTTCGTGCCTTTCCACGAATCTTGGATCGGAATTTAGAAAGACACTGACGTGATGCGCTGTAGTTGCGCACGAAAAAATCCGAACTGAATGCCGCCGGTGCGTCGCGTTCACGGATGTCAACCGTGAGTGCAGCCGGGATGTACTTAGTGGGATGTTGATGTATTTCACAACAGACCCATGCGCGGAAGAACCCATGTTCCGATTTCAAGCCGATCAAGCCGTTCCATTGGAGTCAGTTTCGTGTACGTTACGAATTATGACGGCACCGCAAACATGTTCACAAATATACTCTGACCTCATTCGATTAGGTCAGCATAACCGGCGGGCTTGGCCGTCTGTGCTTTGCGCGGCACTTAGCGCAGTGCCGTGCATGGGGTGTTACGACACAGGAGCTCGAATGATTGATTATTTTGGCATCTGCATTGGAAGCGTCTGCCCAGATAAAGGAATTTCCGGTGCTTAGCGCGCCACTGCTTTTAAAGGCTTGTTTTCCCAACTTTGATCAATAAATGTTATATCTTGGCTCAACCTTGTTCATGTCCGTCAAGTAAGCCTTTAATTCGTATTCAAACTCAGCGTCGAGCTCAGATATCCACAGATTCCCTCATCGGCCAACCTCGTTGAGTTATCCACAAATATGCAGTCGTGTTTTCTGTATGCCATCAAGTTTAACCTGTATAGCTCAAAGATCAAATTTTGGGTACCCTGGCATTCATTCCTTCGAAACCCCAAGAAATGAATGTTGTATTAATGCCCGTGATGTCCACTTTCGTCATACCTGGCAATGCCTTTAAAGGTCCATATCCATGTGCATGAGAACATGCTCCAAAAAGTGATGATATAGCAGCCATTAAGGTGCCGCATTTTCGATTTTTTATCGCCTAAAATCTGTAAACGTTGAAGGATGGTTTGCATGCGATGTTTTTGCACCATTGCTATGTAATAGAAGTTTAAGTAGCATTGCAAGTTGAATGTACTGAGCTGGATATTGAAGCGATGTAGGTGCGTTTAAGTTTATGCCTCGAAGCGTTGTTTGTATTCACTTAAGCACATGATGTTTGCCTGCACCATTTTGTTTTAAGAGAGCGTAAATTAAAAGACATCGTTGCTCATAATGTTTTGGTTTTGGCTTTGACGCGACGTCACCGACCCTTTTGGCTACATTGTCGGATGCGGCCTCACAGCTGTGCTCGCACGAATTATAAACACCGCGATGTCAGAAGCGTTCAAGGCTGTTGCCGTCGCGGCCGAGCTGAGCAATGTGAAGCTAAGCATCAGATAACCTGTCGAACACACTTTAACTCCGAATCTGATCGTCGATTTTCCACATCAGCCTTTGCTGCGGCATTGTATCGGCTGCGGTGGAGTGCTCCGCCCAGGTCACCGCTCTCCGAGCGATCTCACTGCCGACCGGCTGTCTGGCGCGACACAGGCAGCCAATGCATCTCGAGCCCCAGTCCCGCCGCGAGCTTCAGTATCGGCATCTGGAAATAGTAATCTTGAAAATGGTACCCAAATCTTAAACTTATTTGAACACCGTTTTATGTTACCGTTTTAAGTGAGATACACCCGAAAATTCGACATTTTCCCTCTTGCGCTCTCTTCAGCCCGGTTTGACTCGACCATTTGTCGGGCGCTCAAGCTGAAAGTCTCCACCTCACCGCCCGCCTGCTGCACGATCTGCAGTCGCTGAACTTTCTCCGTGACATCCGCATTGCTGCGAAACCCCATCCGCCCTTCAACCCCAGGCCAGCGCCGAACTCCGCACTTGAAACACCGTCAAAACCCACATCTGCCAGGCCGGGGTCTGAACGCCGTCAAAACCCACATCTGCCAGGCCGGGGTGTGAACACTGTCAAAACCCACATCTGCCAGGCCGGGATCTGAACACCGTCAAAACCCACATCTCCCAGGCCGGGGTCTGAACACCGTCAAAACCCACATCTGCCAGGCCGGGGTCTGAACTCCGTCAAAACCCACATCTGCCAGTGCGGGATCTGAACATTGTCAAAACCCACATCTGCCAGGCCGGGATCTGAACACCGTCAAAACCCACATCTGCCAGGCCGGGATCTGAACACTGTCAAAACCCACATCTGCCAGGCCGGGATCTGAACACTATCAAAACCCACATCTGCCAGGCGGAGGTCCGAACACTGTCAAAACCCACATCTGCCAGGCCGGAGTGCCAACACTGTTAAAACCCAGGTCTGCGAAAACCTAGTTTGGGACCGGAACTGTCCACGGTTCGCATGTAACGTGCGAACATGCGGATCGCCACCTCCAGAGCTCGGGAACATGACCTGAGGTCTTCAGCTCGGAGACGATTTAAGAACTGTGATGTGACGGCTGTGCGTGCGCGAATGTGGGCAGCTGGACTCCAGCGCACCGCGGAGCGGCGGTTTGTACGCGCTTAGTCGGTTGTGACGTGTCTCTCCTTCAGCTTGAAAGCGACACACCGAATGCGATGTGTGATGCTGGGGTGTTTCGTATTCAGTATACAAATGCAGCGCATCACCATTCGGCCTGTCAGCGCATTCATCCGGAACGCCGCAGGGAATAGCCGCCGTGTGCTGTGTTTTCCATGCCCGTGTAACATGTTGGTTGATTACGTGCATTCTTCATTAAATTAGCGCCAAATAGACACCTTCTGGACTCAGTCTAGACAGGACGGAGTCTGACCTGAAGAGCGGTAAGGGCAGAGGCCAGTGAAGGACGTTAGACCTGGCCGGTTAGAATGTATGCCTTGTAAGAGGGATGTGGAATGGTCTTCATGCCGAATTAAGGCGCCAATTAGCAGGTTTGAGATCATCAACGTAAGTCGTGGAATCAGCTGAATCACAGATGCTTGCGTGATGTAGTTGTTTTATTTCTTATTGCGCTACGGGTTTTCAGCACAAAGCGGTTGTACGCAGTTCATCTCAGCTAGTTGGGTGATGCATGTTTCTGGCCATTTTTTTAGGGTTTCCACAGTGATCCCTTATTGTCGTCTTATATGCGGTGGTGTCAACCATCCAGTGAGTCAATTTGGCACCTTGACGTAAAAGTGCTTTCGTGTGCGATGTTTAGTAAGGCCATTGGCGGGTCTTGTGGGATCCCCAGCCTGTTTTCTGCATAACTTGTTTTCTGGGAAGCCTCCTGCAAATGGCCCATAAAAGGGCAGCATCAGGCCTTTCTTTTTTGCAAGCTCATTTCATCAGCTGGCTTGCGTTGAGAGCGCATGCAACTCGCTTATACCTTAAGCGTTGCAGTAAGCCACCGCGGCTATTTATGCCGTCGTATAGGCTCAACACGGGGTGGTTGGTGGTATTAACATACCTGCGTGGGCCACTGTATATAGATATATATATATATATATATATATATATATATATATATATATATATATACATATGTTTGTGTAAAGAAAGAAATGCATTGACAGCGATTGCGTGCTAGCGTTAACGCGCGCTCGGATGAGGGTCAAATTGACCCTCCCCCTAAGGTTTTTCCAGAATGGCTTCCGAACGGCACGGCGTAGCCGCGCCAAGTTTTGCATGGCTTTAGACAATCAATCAAATAGCGGATCGTTTGGCATAACAAATTTTGATGCACCTTGTAAGGTCGCTGACCTATAGCAGGTCAAAGTCAGGCTATGGTTTCAGCGGTCATTTTTTAGGGAATCGTTCATTCTGATGCAACAACGGAGTGTTAGACGAAGATACACATCTCTGAGATTCTTTCGTAGGCAACAAAAATACTGAATGAGCAAACGACGTTAACCCAAGGTCAGGTGTGAAGGTAAGACCAAGGTCAAAACCAACCTGTTTTATTGCTCTAGGGCTTGCTGTATGGGATGACTCCTGGTGCTCATTTCGAATTCATTGATAGCAGGAAACGCATTACACATCTTCCATGGCCTTCTCAGAGGTCAGAATAGGTCCTTGACTTAAAAGGACTCAGGTCAACATTTTGTTTTTAGAAACATATTGTGTAGCGTTATATTTGTCGCTTATCCAAGTGCAAAACTCAGAGCAGTCTTGTATGATTTTGGTCACCATGACCTTCAAGAGGTCGAACAAGGTCACTGACCTTAAATGAGCATGTGACCTTTTGCTTAGAAACGGTTATCTAGGTTCTGGGGGCACTTGGAGACCAACCTG